GGAGGGGTTTTGTTTTCCTTTCCAAGGACAGAATGTCCAAGGATCCTGCAGCTCCCCAGGGTGCTGAGGCCATCCCAGATCCCACCTCAGACCTCTGTGCTGAGTGGAGAGGGCTGCATCTGGCTGTGAGGGAGGGATTTTGGGGTCTATCCCACTGCAAACCCTCCAGGGAGAAAGAGGTGGCTCAGCCAGGGCGTGCAGGCAGCGAGGGGCAGGATGGTGTGGGGAACAATGTCATCCAATCTATAAGCAAAGCCTTAAAAAAGTGCTCTGAGATCACTCAAATCCCTTCCAAAACTGCACCCAGGGCACCAAAACCACCTGGAAATGCTGTGACAGGCTGAGCCAGTGCAGCACCACCCAGCCCTGGTGCTCCTGAACTCCCTGTTGCACAACGTGGCCTCAGCCGTGTCCAACCCGCTGCCATGGGAAGCAAATTAAGACCAGAACTCAGGAGCAGCAGCTCTTTAAAACATGTCCCGCTGCTCAGAGCCCTTCCCAGGGGCCGTGGGACATGGTTCTCATTCCTCTGCCTGGGCTGGGGTTTATTATTTTCCCCTCTATTGTGCAGAGTCCCCTTTATTCCCTGCATGCCTGTCCCCCCGGGGCTGAGGGAAGCAGTGTGGTTTTCTTCTTGTGCACAGACACGGCTTGTTGCCTGCTCCCAACCACCCTTTTGTCTTTTAAACATGATCTCCAGGCCAAAAATAGATGGTCCCTTCTCCTTCCAGCCCTGGAGACCAACAGCCAACAGGTGAGTGCAGGGAGGGACATGGGGGCCAGAATCATTAAGGTCACTAATAAATGGTTTTAAAGGCAATTTTTTCCGTGATTCCTGATGTTTCCAGCTGGGGCTGTCTGGCATCAGCCCCTTTTTGAAAGACATGATGCCCTGTGGGGTTGTCATCCCACTTTTGGGTGACCCAGGAGGTTTGGGAGCACTTGGAAGTGCCAGCCGTGTGGACTCGATGGTCTCAGGCTCAAGGGGTCCCTGTGTCCCCTCGTGCTGATGAGGCATCCCTGGGATGGGAAAGGCAAATTCCAGGGGAATATCCTGGTTGGGATCCTGTAGCCTCGGGCACATCCCTTTGCCTCAGGGGATGGGGGAACATCCCGGCACAGTGAGCTGGGATTGTTGGGTGGAAAATGCTCCGTAAGAGCCAGAAATTCCTGTGCTCTGAGTCAGGCCGGGCTCTCCTTTCCCGGGGTCTGCTCCTTTCCCTCCTGTTTAGCGGCCCTGGCCTGGAATGCACCGTGACAGGCCCCGGCTTTGCGGGCAAACACATCTTTAGAAACCGGAGGGTTTTATCCCCTGCAATTATTATCACTTGAATGTAGGTCGGCTTGACAGCTTAGGTGGAAAATCATCTTCGGAGCGTTCCAGCAGCTCCACGCTCACTGTCCTGGTAATTCCCACCCTGTTCCCCCTGTTTTAGGGAGGAAAGTCGGGTTCAGGAGCTGTTTCACCAGCAGAGGTGAATTATAAAGGCAGGAGTCTCCTCCCAAAGGCACAGGGGGGGCTGGGGGGAGATGGGGTGGCAAATGCACCTTCCCGTGCTGGCAGCTCCCTGCCGATGCTCCCAGCTGCCCAGGGGAGGGATGCATTCATCTCTGCTCTCTGTCCATCCCGGTTTGTCTGTCTGTCCCTCCCTTCCCGCGGCTCTTCCCGGCTGCAGGGAAAGGCCGGCTCTGCCGCATCCCTCCTGGGAGGGACCGTGCCATCCTCTCCCGCTCTCTCTCGGCCTCCCCGCTGTATTTTTCCCCTCCCGAAATCACAACTTCCATCCTCCCGAAAGGCCTCCCCCGCGCCGAGCCCCCTCCCCTGGCCCGGCGCTATGAATGAAGGGTTGGTGGCCCTGCGATGCCATTTCCATGGTGACAGATGGCAGCGGGAAATGCGGGGATCAGGGTCACATGAGAGCAGCGGTAAATTCAGGAGGTTATTTATAGGCTGCTGCTCCAGCGTTTATGGAAATGCGTCTGCCTTGGCCCGTGGAACGAGCCCTTCACCAGCTCTCCGGGGCACTGCTCTTCCAGGAGAGACATTACTCATGCTCTGCTTTAATCCAGACTGTTCCTGCTGCTCAGGCTGGGATTGGAAAAGTACCGGGCAGAGGGTTTGGGGTATTTTTATTTTTATTTAGTTTTTTTTTAAGCCTCAGTCTCTGAATCAGCCTCAGCCAAACGCAGCCGTAACCTTCTCGCGTCTGCCCGCGGCATCTTCTGCACCCAGCGCTGCCATGGGCCACAACCTGGGATTTTGGGCCTGGAAATGCCCCTGGCAGAGCCCAGATCCAGCCTGGCTTTTAGCCCAGCCTCAGTTTTTAGCTCTGATACAGCTGGGAATCTTTGCCTCAGTTTACCAAGCAACGAACCAACTCTTGCCTCAGTTTACCAACCAACACGACTTTGGGACTTTGTGGCCAGTCAAAGGGAGATCTTTAAATCCACCTGGGAGGGTTTCTGACACCTCAAGGTGTCACTGAGTCACCCATGACCCAGGAGCTGCCTGCTCCCCATCTCCAGCAGGCTCCTCCCTGCTCCCTGCTGGGATGTGCAGGAGCAGAGGAGCTCAAAGGCTGGTTCAGCCCCTCTTAATAAGGTTCCTTGATTTCTCTTTGCTTAAGATCCCCTTAATCAGGTCGCTGGATCTTCTTTTGGTTAATCTGGGTGTGCAGGGAGGTTCCTGCTGCTGGCACTTCCAGCCCAGGGCTCTGTAGCTCCCCTTCCCAGCCCTCCCAGTTTGTGCCCATCTCCCATGGAGATAAATAAAACTCCCCATCTCTGGAAATTAGAGAATTATGGAATCACAGAGTGGTTTGGTTGGAAAGGGACCTTAAGGATCATCTCCTTCCATCCCCTGCCATGGGCAGGGACATCTTCCAGTTTGCTCCAAGCCCCATCCAACCTGGCCTTGGACACTTCCAGGGATGGGGCAGCCACAGCTTCTCTGGGCAACCTGTGCCAGGGCCTGCCCACCCTGTCCTCTGTGTGTCCCCACCGATGTCCTGGATGTCTGTCCTGTCCAAGTCTCCATTTCCCAGCCCAGGCACCATCCTTCCCTTCCACGTGTGCTTCCCCATCAACCAAAAAGGATGATCCCTGGGAAGCACCGTGGCAGGATGCCACATTTAAACCCCAGAGACCACCGAGGAGAGGTCACAAGGAGTGACCACAACCCAGAGCAGCCCTTAGCAGGCTTTGATCCACCTCCCACCTCTTCCAGGCTGGTTTGCATCATTCCTGAACTCCTGAGGTCCATCACCCACTGGGATGTGCAGAGGGACACGGCCACAAGCTGAGCACGCACCAGGGATTTTGCAAGGGGGGGATTTCTGATTTATAAATCACGAGTGTGATGGGTTTATTCCTTTTCCAGCGCTGTGTCGAGCTGGCTTCTCCCTTCCCGGGGCCGGGAAAGGTGCAGGTGTAATGGAGTGTGGCCTCATTCCTCCCCCGGGGCAGCAGGGAGCGCTCCCGCCGCCGGCTCTGGCCGAGCTCCCAAATACCTGCGAGAATTGATCATTCCCTGCCTAATAGGCTGGAAAGGGAAACGGCTCCAAAGGCCAGGAATGTGTATAAACACTGCCATCCAGGAGCTGGAATGGCGCTGGAGCTTTGAATCCTCTGGCATTTGTCTCTTCCAAATGTGGTTTTTCCTCCTGTCAGGGTTTCCCACTGGATGTTGGTACCAGTGTCCCCAGCACCAGTGATGTCCAGGCTCCACTGCTGCGGGTTGGATGAGCTGAATTTGGGTTTTTAGGACCACGAGACTTTACCAATTTCCATGAGGTACTGAACCAGCAATGAACTCCTTTAATAAACTTACACACATTTCTGAGTGTGTAACTGAAGTACCTTTGTAATCCAAGTGAAACACTTTTCACAGGAATTCTAATCAGAATCAAAAGGACAAATTATTACCTATATCATCAAAAATGCTTTACTTCTTACTTTCAAATTGTTACTCCTTTTCCCTGTTTTCCCTGCAGTGAACCAACCGTGGTTTTCCTGATGAACCCAGTGAGGGGTTTTCTGAGGGCAGCACTGAAGCCACAGGGAGGGCTGAGCCCTCCAGGTGTCCTGGACTCTGCTGCCCACGCCAAACATCAAAACTGCCTCAGGGACTGGGAGAAATCAGGCCTAGAGGGCTGAATTTGGGATTTGTTGGACCCGAAGAGCTGTTTGTGCAGAGTATTTCTGCCTTGCCCTGGATAAAATGTGGTGTTATATCCTGCTGTGTCCGCTTGGGATGGAAAGGGGGGTCCTTTTACCTGAGGAATTTTATCATCTGCATTAAAGGTGGATTAAAGGTGCATTAAAGGTGGATTAAAGGTGCATTAAAGGTGGGTTAAAGGTACATTAAGGGTGGGTTAAAGGTATGTTAAAGGTGGGTTAAAGGTGCATTAAAGGTGGGTTAAAGGTACATTAAGGGTGGGTTAAAGGTGCATTAAAGGTGGGTTAAAGGTACGTTAAAGGTGGAGACCTCACAGCACTTCCAGGATCTGAAGGGGTCTACCAGGAAACCAGAGGACTATTCATCAGGAACTGGGGTGACAGAGCAAGGACAAATGGCTTCACACTGAAAAAGGGGGAATTTAGGTGGGAAGGAATTCTTCCCTGGGAGGGTGGGGAGGCCCTGGCACAGGTTGCCTAGAGAAGCTGTGGCTGCCCCATCCCTGGAAGTGTCCAAGGCCAGGTTGGACGGGGCTTGGAGCAACCTGGGCTAGTGGAAGGTGTCCCTGCCTGTGGCAGGGCAGGGAGTGGAACTGGATCTCTAAGGTCCCTTCCAAACCAAACCATTCCACAACAACAGAGGAAAGTGGTGACCAATCCCCCCCCCCCAACACTCTCCTTCCCCGGGGCACCCCTGGGGCCGCTCTTTTGGAGCATTTCAGTGGGTTTTACTTTCTCCCGCAGCCAAGCCGAGCCCACCCCTCGTGCCGGGACTCGACGCTGGTTTTTTTCTAACGCAAGAGCCTCCCTCGGCGCGGGGGGGGGGGTGGCCCGGCACCCCAGCTTTGACGCGCAGCCCTGTGACTCAAGCCTGCGTCAGGGCTGCGTGTCCCTTCCCATTGAGTATTTTTTTAAATTTTTCCTTTTTTTCTCCCCCCCTCCAATTGCTTTCCCGTTTATTTATTTATTTCCCGGGAGCCGAGCGGCGTTACCTCCCTCCCGGCGAAGGGCAGCGGGGCCGGGCGAGCCCAGCGCGCATCCCCCGGGCGGTGGCGGGGCGAGGAGGGGGACGCGGAGCGGAGTCACCGCTACCTCGGAGCTTCACCGCCGCGCCGTGCCGAGCCGTTCCCGGGCACTGCTCCCCTTTTCCCGGTCGCTGCCGCTCCCGTTTGCCCGCTTTCCCGCAGCACCGGGAGCCTCGGACCGGCCCCGCCACCGCCCGGTCTCGCCTCTCCTCCCCCCCCCCCGCACCGGAGCGGGGGGAACCTGGGTGATTTCTACCGGGAATTTGCGCCGTTTCCTTCGGGATCGGGCCGGTTTTTCCCGGGATCGGGTCGGTTTCATCCTCCCCGCAGCGCCAAGGTAAGGATGCTCCCCCCGCTCCCGGGTTCCGCTCCCGGGGATCTCCCCCCTCCCCGGGGGCTCCCGGCTCCGGGTGCCCCCTCCCCACTAAGGGTTGTTTTGAGGGAAAGATGCTCAGGGACGGGTCGGGGGGTTAATGGAGGGTTCACCTCAGCCTGGAGGCATCAGGCGTGGCCCTAAGGGCGGTGGCATCCAGGGCCGGGGGGGACATTGAGAGACAGCAAATGGCTTAAAGCCACCTCGGGGGGCTGGGGGTCACTGGGGGGGTGGCACTGGGTGCCTGCCTGGCTCTTGTTGGTGGGGGGCTCATCCCTTTTGAGGATGGGTGGAAATGCAGCCTCCAGGTTGACCTTGACAATAACATTGGGAGGGGAGAAAGCGTTTGCCTGCGATGAATATTTCGGTCCTGGCCCCTGAAGTGTGTGTGGGGGATGTGTGTGTGTAATTGCCCCTTCTTTTATTTGTTTTTATGCTGCTCCCTGAGCGTGGCTGGTTGGGTTTGAGACAGAAAAATGGGGCTTGGGCTCCTGGTTTTGTGAAATCCCCAATCCTGGGTGTGGGGATGAACCCAAAGGTGTTTTGGGCTTGGCCGGGTCCAAATTTCCATCGCTCCGGGGACATGGGGCTCAGACCCGTGGGGGTATCTGCTCCCAGCTCCTCACAGAGGACCCAGAAGGTGAAATCCTGCTTCCCAGATCATGCCTTGTGTCTGAGGCACCTGAGGTTTGAGTCCATCAGGAGCTGATGCAACTATTTCTGGTCTGGGTAGGAAAAAACCCGGAGCTATTCTCGGCAGGGCAGAGAGTTTCTGGTGAATATTTCTCCAGAGGTGTCAGGACTAGGTCAAGGAACCTGGCTGGGGTTTGACTGCAGCTCAGCTGCTCCAAGGGAAATAAAATGTGGGTCTGAGCTGTCCACTGGGATAAACTGGAGGTGGCTCCTCTAAAATCAATAGGAATTAAAGGGTTTTGGTTTAAACCCAGGGTGACTCCACTGCTACTTCAGGCTTTCACAGAGCAGGGAATCTGGAGTCACGAGGATCAAATTGACCCTAAACCAGATGCTGACCCGCAAATCCAGGCAAAACCACCCCCTTGGGAGGAGAGGCTCTGCTTTTCCCCCATCCTGGGCTGCGTTTGGAATTGTTTGTTTACAAACGTAGCAGCAGCTCCAGGAGTTACAACAGGGAAAAGCAGCGCTGGTGGCGGGATCCGCGTGCCACCCGTTTGGGGCTTTTGGGGATAAATCCTGGCTGGTTTGGGGTTCAGTCTCCAACCCTTGGCTGGAGGGGGTGAGTTACGAGGCATCACCGAGATTGAAGTGGAAAAAGATCATCTGGTGAATCAAGCCGGGCCCTGGAGGGATCATGTGGTGTTGGTTTGCTCTGGTGTCACGTTATTGCAGCTGATGTGTGTTTTCATGATACCAAATGGGACAGGAAAGGAGCCCAGATCCGATGAATCAACGGGCTCCAGTGCTTCGTGACAAACCCAGGTGCTGAGGCTTTGTCCTCCTCCAGGGTCCATCTCACCACCCAGTGGCAAAATGGTCTTTTCCGGAGGTTTCTTGGCACCTGTTGGAGAAACGAGTTGCTGCAATGTGTGAAAACCCTGGGGCTGGACAGGCACCCACCGAGTGGGAAAGACCCCCAGTTCTGGAAGGGGAAGGGCACCCACACCCGGAGCGGGAAGGGAACCCACGTGGCACGGGAAAGGTGCCCTTTGGGTGGGAAGGGCACCCACCTCCAGGGTGGAGCAGGGGCTGGAGCAGCCCCTCCTCTGCTTCCCTTGAGAGGAACGGGGGTTATTTATAACCTCTGGGTGCTTTTCTGGCAGGAGCCAGCGGGGTGGGTGTACGGCAGAAGCGGGGGCAGCTCTGACTCAGCTCAGCTCCTGTGGCACGATGCTGAAGGGGGACGGGGGGTTTGTCTGCGGGGGAGGACACGGAGCCCCTCGAGCCCCTGTGGAGGGCAAATGCCAGCTCCGGGTCATGGAGCTGCTCCAGGACAGGAGTTTGGCTCCCAGGAAAGCTTCTCCTGCGCTCTCCCAGCTCCTCACACCCACCCTACCCGAAGTTTGTGCCTCCCCAGGTGTGGGGGTGAGGAGCAAACACACCCGGTGGCACTGAGTCACCCCGTGTCCTCTAATTAGCCAGGCGCTAATTAGCAGGGCTCGTTATAAAAAGGGGAAAATGGGAGCAGCCCTAATGAGCCCGGATGGCAAAACCCTTCCCTGTGGAGCCAGAGGCCGAGCAGGGAGGAGCAAAGCCCAGCAGCAAATAGGTTTAAGATGGAGGTGTCTTGGAGAAGCCTTTCCTGCTTCCCCCCCCCCCGGTGGAAGGGAATTTTGTGGGAGAGGGGTTCCAGACAGGTCCTTGGGGCAGGGCTGGGGGGGATCAGAGCTGCAACGCTTCTGCCTTGGGCAAAAATCTCCTCTTGGGGCTTTGGAAGCAGAGCTTGGATGCTGCTCGGAGGGTCCTGCCCTTGGTTTCTTGTGGCTTGGAACAGCGGGATGCTTCCCAAAGGCACAATGTCTCCCAAAGGACTGGCTCTGCCAGGGCGATCCCTCTCCCACTGCAGAGGCTCTCCTGGCCATGGGAAGCAGCAAGTAGGGCCTGGAAGGTGTTTTTCCCATGATTTGGGCTCGTGGGAGGTGCACCCTGGGCTCCTTCCCCTCGCCCTCGGCTGTGCGGGACCGAGGGAAAACGGGAGAGGTGATTGTTCCTTCCCTCTCCTCTCTTTCCCGGCCTCGCTGCTTCCTGGGTGACCTTGGATCTGTCCCTTCTCCTCCCTGCTCCAGTCTCCCCATCTGCACAGAACAGCCTGGCCTCGGGGGCAGGATTTCCCTGGCTCTGGGTGTGGGGAGCTGCGAATCGATGCTCAGATCTCCCAGCCCGGTCCTGAGGGAGGATTTCCACCTCCTGAAATCCCTCTGGGCCTCTGCCACCTCTACCTTCCCTGCTCTGTGACCTTGATGGGGTGAGCAGGACCTTCCTGGGCCTGGTGAGCTGGATCCTTCACCAGGAGCTTCGTCAGGAGCATCTTCCCCTCTCCTTCGGGGGGATTTGAGTGGAAGCTCTGCAGCAGCTGAAGGGGGGTTGATGCTGGGACAGGGAGGGACAGCAGAGAGTCCCCAAGGCTTTAAATATTCATTTGGAACTCACCCAATCCCACCTTGTGGTTTTTACCTGCCTCAGTTTCCCTTTATATACCCAAACAGGAGGTAAATGTAGAATTTGGGCACAGGGGAGGAGAAATCTCTCCTTGTCCCATCCTTTGGGCCCAGACTGTGTTGGCAGCTGGGAATCCCCCTCTCCCCCCTGCCTGTCTCTGCCCTCCCAGGCCCAGCTGGAAGCTTTGCTGACCTGGTTCCAGCCTGTTTGTGGCTCCTGGGCTGAGGCAGGACACAGCTCCCAACATCCCTCCCCCACACCTTGGGGTGCTGCTGCAGGGCCGTGGTGCCCTCGGCTCCTGGGGGTCTGCACTCATCCCAAACAGCAGCTTTGCCCCAGTCCATGTTTTTGGGATCAGCGGGAGCCTCTGGGCAGGGATCAAACCCTCTGGGTGTAGCAAAGCAGGAGCTTCTTCAGCCCTGTGTGGGGTGAATCCAGCCTGCTCCATGGAAAACCATGGATCTGCTGCAGTGGTGGCTCAATCCCAAGGCATACAGTCCTTGTGGACCCACCTGGACAGGGGTGGGGAGTGTCACCTGGACAGGGGACAGGGATGAGGGAGTGTCACCTGGACAGGGGATATAGATGGGGAAATGTCACCTGGACAGGGGATGTGGATGGGGAAATGTCACCTGGACAGGGGATATAGATGGGGAAATGTCACCTGGACAGGGGACAGGGATGGGGAGTGTCACTTTGTGCAAGCTGGAGCCCCAGGCTCAGCTCCGGGATCAAGGTTTAAGGAATGGTTGCTTTGCAAGGGGTTGGACATGAAGGAATCCCCTGGGCCCAGGAAAGTGGGACATGGAGCATGAGGAGGGGAGTTGTCCCCAGGGAGAGCCCCAGTGTCTCCCCCTGTAGCTCCCATGGGATGTGTTGGCTGCACTCAGAGACACCAGGACCAACCCCAGCACAAACTGGTCCTTCCCCCGCTCCTGCTGTGGGAAAATCCCTGTTCCCTCTCCAGGGGTGGCAGCAGCTCTGGTTTTACCTGGGCAAAGCCGTGGGTGCAAAGGTAACCCCGGCCTGGCAGCACAAGTGAGGTTCCTGCTCCGGAAGACCCTCATCTGTCTTCTACAGAGAGAGAAAAAAGGCACATTTAAGAAAATTAAGGTCACGAGGACTAAGTAAACAAGCTGAGCCTCCATCTGTCAGTGACAAGGGTTTTCTCTCTCTCTCCAGCCTGGAAAGCTCCTGGTTGTCAGCTGATCTGCCTCGTCTTTCTCACAGGGTGGTTGTTATTTTTGGTGGATGAATTTTTGATTAAATTCCCTTCTCAATCAAAGAAATGCATGGAAATACCTCTCTCGGGTGGATTTGGACTGTGCTTTTCAATTTGAGGGGTGGGGACCTTGGAGCTGATAGGACATGCTGGGGAAAGGAATAGGAAGAGCCCTGCTGGCCTTGCTTTCCCTGGATAGTGCCCCTGTGCTGGGTGGGTTATGGTTCCATGCTGGTTCTGGCTGGGATCATCCCACGGTTCCAGCAGGAATGTGGATGGCAAAGGCTGGGTGAGCTCATGGCATCACTGTCGGGAAGGATCATTTCTCCTTCAGGCCTTGGCAACACCTTCATCCCCAGGCTGGGGCTGAGCCACTGGGAGACAGCAGGATGTTCCCAAGAAAGCCGTGGGGACACTGCCAGAGCCATTCCAGGATCAGGGTTTGGATCTCTGCCATAGTTTCCCCCTCTAGTTCAATTTGGGTGCCTCTCCCACGGGGAGAAAGACTCGTCCCCTGCTCCTTCACCCTCATCCCAGTGTCTGGAGAACCCTTGGCCCAGCTGAACAGCTCTGGCGCCCCAAATCCTTTGGGAATGTTGCTGTCTGGAGGGTCCTCTGAGAGCCCTGGGGCTTTGGAGGTGCTGGAAGGACCTTGCTCCTCCAGGACCTGCTGCCTCTCAGCCCCTCAGAATAACTGTGGGGGGACCTAAACTGAGGTTGAGACCCAGGGTGGGATGTTGTGGGGTCTGGCCTGGCCCAGCACCCCCTGCCCTGGAGCTGGGCACCTCCAAGGGGCTGCTGAGCTGTCCCAGGAGAGCCTTTGGGGATGCCCTGACCGTGGGACACTCTGCTCTGGGGGCTCAGCCAGCTCCTCCTCGCCCGCCTTGGCTCCATCCCTGGAACAAAGGGATTCTTCATCCCCAGGCTGAGCCCTCCCGATGCTCCCGAGGAGCTGAAGCAGCTGCTGAGCAGCCGAGGAGCAGCAAACAGCCCGTGGGGGATTCACCCGGGTCTGCGCAAACCCACACGCAGCCCGATCCAAAGCCGATGGAAATCCCGGCGATCTCCTGACCCTTCCCCTCCCTCCCCACCCCGGGGAGATGCTCCAGCCCCGGGCAGCCACGTGCCCGTAATCGCCACGATCGAGCCGCGAGCGGGTTCTGTGAATGAGCCCTCGTTAGGAAATCACACATCGCCGGCCCGGCCTTGAAAGGATAATTTAAACGGATAATTTAAGCGGCTTCTCCGGAGGAGCCGGATCCGGGAAAGATGTGGAGCCGAGACGGTTGCCTGGCAACAGATGCAGCCGACAGCCGAAAATAGATTTTTTTTTTTTTTGTAATAGGAACAAGGCCTGGCAAAGGGGGAACTTTCTTCAGGGGTGAAAAAGCACCGAGGTGAAGGCGAGGGAGGGTGAGGTTTCCTGCTGCTGCTGCTCTGCCCCATATGGGGATGTCAGTGCCCTGGTGGGGAAGGGGCTCTGCTGCTGTGACTGGGGGCTGGATTGGATCAAAAATGTTTGTCCAAAGGCAAGAAGAGCTGGGAAAGGCTCTGGAAAATCATGGAGGCAGAAGGGACAGCGGGAGGCCCACCTTGCATTATCCATCCTCCATCCCAGTACGGACGAGGGTTGGTTTTCCCAAGGCCGAGGGGGTGTTTGGGCAATGTCACCTGGGAGAGGCCACCGGGGGCTTGGACGAGCTTGGAGCTGACTGAGAAAGCCCCCAGGCTGGGGGGATGGTGCTGCAGCAGGGCCAGGGTGGGATCATTCCCTGGGTGTGGCACCAGAGCTCTGCCAGGACCCAGCAACCAGCCGTGTGTCCCCTGGGAAACAGGGATGGAGAGGATGGAAAAGAAGGAAGCCTGGCTCTTCAGGAGAGTCATTTTTGCAAGATGAGGCGGTTGTTGTGGGGTTTCTGTATTTTCTCCCCACTTGGTGAAGCACCACAGTCCCAGCTGGGTTGGGAGCTGCCAGTCACACCCCAGTTCTCCCAGTATGGAGAGGAGGGACACGGTGCTTTCCCAGCACCATGGGGATCCCAGCAGAGCACATTCCCACAGCGTTCCTGAGATATTCGAGGTGGGAATGAGACCTGCAGGGCTGAGCCAGGTTGTGGAGGTGCCTCCATGCAGGATCACTCCTCCTGGCCCAGGCTGGAAGCTGGGAAGCAGGAGGGGCTGGGATTGATGGCTTGGCCTTGGCTGCTGTTCTCCGCTGTAAAGCTGCCTGGAAGATTTAACGTCAGGCTCCAAGGATTTTATGTCACTCCTGATAATGTCCTGGGATGGAGAGATATCCTGGGTGTTTGTCACTGTCCCCTGAAAGCTTCCAAGTTGTCATGGAACTTATCCAGGGCTCTGCCAATGGCCAGGAGGGGAGGGAGTGGGACAGGGAGGGCAGGGCCTTGGCCAGAGCTGGAGTTGGTGTCAGTGGGGTTCAGCTGCTGCCTGGGGGTGTTGGAGGGGCAAGAGGTGTCACAGTGATGTGAGCAGCTCCATCACTTGTCCCTGTCCTCTGGAGCCCAGGGAAATTCCCTGCTGGGAGTCACAGGAGGCCCTTCTCCATGAATGAGAGAAGCTGTGGCTGCCCAACCCTGGAAGTGTCCAAGGCCAGCTTGGACAGGGCTTGGAGCAACCTGGGCTAGTGGAAGGTGTCCCTGCCCATGGCAGGGGGTGGGACTGGATGAGCTTTAAGGTCCCTTCCAACCCAAACCATCCTGGGATTCTCCAATGCTCCACCGGGGAGCTGCTCCTGGTCCATCCTTCATGGAGAAGGGGACGCTCCTGGTTCAGACCCCAAGGATGGGATGATGGAAACCCTTCTCCCCCAGTGCTGCTGGTCCCATCAGAGGATAAAACAAACCCAACCCCCCCCGTTGACCCCTCCCCTTCCCCACCCAGGTCCTGCTGATGACGAGGAGGTGAGGCTGAGCTGCAGCTCACACCGGCGCCGTTCCCTGTGGGACCTTCATCTCCTTCCCTCGCCCCGTCCCACCCCCGGGACCACCCGGAGCCGCCCCGATGCCCAAGAACAGCAAAGTGACGCAGCGGGAGCACAGCAGTGAACATGTCACCGAGTCGGTGGCCGACCTGCTGGCCCACCAGGAGCCCGTGGACTACAAACGCAGCGTCCTCAACGTGACGGGAGGGGAGGCCTGGGACAAGCAGAAGGAGGGGGAGGAGGACCTGGATGCGGAGAGGCCGGCCTGGAACAGCAAACTCCAGTATATCCTCGCCCAGATCGGCTACTCCGTGGGGCTGGGCAACGTCTGGCGCTTCCCCTACCTCTGCCAGAAGAATGGAGGAGGTGAGACCCGGGGCAGGGGTGGGATCAGCCCTTGGAGAGGGGGATAGGGCCCAGTTCTGCCCCGCCGCACATCGGGGCGTGGGTGCTGGGGCAGGACAGGGGTTATTTGGGCTCTAAAGTGGGTTATTTGGGCTCTGAAGGTGGAAAGGGACAGCCAGGAGTTGTGCTGAGTTGTTGGAATCTCCTGGACAGCCTCTTCCTAAAGGTTGTCCACCTGCCCACTCCAAAGTCAAGGTGAATCCCAGGGCGGGAGCCAGGATTTCTTGCTGCAGCTCCTGATTCCTGCTGGGGCAATTTTGTAAACTAGGGGGAAAAATGGGAAGAGAGAATCCCTCCATTTGCCTGGGTCCTGAAGCCACATTGTCCAGACTCCCATCCCTTCCCAAATCCTCCTTCCACCAGCCCATTCTCTCATCCCACCCCGTGCCTCCTCCTTGGGCTCCCAGGAGCAGCCCAGAGGGCCAGGCCTCGTCCAGCTGTGCTGAGACCCACCACCCTTCATGGCACTGATGACTGGGTGGGTCCCTCATCATTAACCCAAACCCAGCCCCTCCCCAGCAGTGCTGCCAGGGGCCAGGACCAGCCCAGGGCTCCCATCTCCCCCCGAGCATTCCGTGTTCCCGGCGTGTCATCCCTTGTGCCCCCGGCCCCACAGCTGGAAAAGCTGCAGCACCCTAATAACTAAAACATCTCCAGTCGTCACTAGGATGAGTCATCCTGCCAAATGTGCAGTCAGCACTCCTTTCCCTTTCCCTTTCCCTTTCCCTTTCCCTTTCCCTTTCCCTTTCCCTTTCCCTTTCCCTTTCCCTTTCCCTTTCCCTTTCCCTTCCCCTTCCCTTTCCTTTTTCTTTAGCCCAGGTGGCCTCATCTCTCTGTCCCATGGGGCAGACACTGATTTTCTGCCTTTTCTCCCCCCCCTTGGCTGGGATTCCCCCCGGGCTGTGGTGTGGTGCCAGCCAGCGGGATGCAGGAGGTCGGGAGGGATGGACAGAGCATTCCCAGCCGTGCTGAGCAGCCCCGGGATGTGGTGGTGGCTGCTGCTTCTCTCCTGCTCCCCGAGCAGGTGCCTGCGGGGGAGGACGGCTGTGCCGGGAGCAGGATGGGCTGGAGCCAAATTCCCAGCACTCGGTGTGCCAGGAGCTGGCACGGGCCGGCCCTGGTGCTGCTGAGCACGGTGATGCACAGGCTTGAACTGGTGCCCAGCTTCCCAGACATCACAGCAAGAAAGTCTCCAATACTGGACACATTTCCATGTGAACGTGTCCGTCTGTCTCAGGCCGGGATGCTCGGGAGGGCATTGCAGAGATGGGATGCTCGTGATCCTTCCTGAATTCCACCAGCCCCAGCTCTGCTCCCCGCCTCTCCTTTCCCCCTCTCCATCACCCGGAGCTGCTGCACCTCAGTTTCGCTCCACCTGCATTTCTAACACGTGATCCCAACCTCTGGATTTGCAGAGCCCCTGCTCAGAGCAGCATCAGCCGCTCCAGGTCCCGGCCGGGGCCGGGGGGTGGTGGCTGTCACCGAGGTGTCAATCCAGCCGGGAATTTTCGCTGCCCTGCCAGAGGGAGCCACGTGCTCCCGAGCCGATCCCGGCTCCTGGCAGGAGGCTGGAGTCGTTCATCAGCTGCAGCGTTGAGTCATCGCATCCTTTACGGTCACTTGGCCGAGCCTCGGGAGCCCCTGGTTCCTCTCCAGCCTCAACAATCAGACAGAGATTCACCGACTTCTTGCTCTCAGTTGTGCCTCCCCCGCCAGAGGATTGTGCTCTGCCCCAGCTGGCAGTGGGGTGGTGGGTGCTGCTCTTTGGGATGTGTTGGGGCTTGGACAGATGAGCACAGGCAGGACCCGGGGAACAGGAGGGTCCTGCCTCCCCCTGTGCCCTCTGTGCCCGGGGATGTGGCCATGTCCCCATGGATTGGCTCCTGGAGGGGTGTCCTTGCACATGGGGTGTCTATGGACGATGGGGGTCTTTGTGTGCTTTGGGGTCAATCCCACATGTCCCCACACTGGCAGGGGGTGTTGCACCCTTTCCTTCCACACGTATGTTTGCTCCTCTCCACAGATTCTCTGCTGGCCAGGCTCTAGTCTTCATTCCCAGATCATGGAATCACTTAGGTTGGAAAAGCCCTCTAAGACCACCAAGCCAAACCCAGCACTGCCATCCTCACTACTAACCCCTGTCCCCAGGTGTCACATCCACACACCTGTTAAACCCCTCCAGGGATGGTGACTCCACCTCTGCCCTGGGCAGCTGTGCCAGGGCCTGACCACCCTTTCCATGGAGAAATTGTACCTGACATCCAATCTAAACCTTCCCTGGTGCAACCTGAGGCCATTTGCAAAGGAGCTGATGGACCAGGCAGAGCCTGTCCCTGCCTGTCCATCCCTGTTCCGTGTCCTTGGGAACAGAGAGAGAGGGGTCCATGACGACCTTTCTCGCCCCTTCCAGGTGCCTACTTGGTCCCATACCTGGTCCTGCTCATCATCATCGGGCTCCCCCTGTTCTTCCTGGAGCTGGCAGTGGGGCAGCGGATCCGCAGGGGCAGCATCGGAGTCTGGAATTACATCTGTCCCCGCCTGGGGGGCATTGGCTACGCCAGCTGCCTGGTGAGTGCGCCCTGGGGAGCCCCCAGACCCCACCTCGGGCTGTGTGGGGTGGAACCAAACCCCATGGGGAGGTTTGAGAGGTCAAGGGGTGTGTTTCCAGCTCCACTCATGGGCTGGTTTGGGGATGGGCCCGTCCCCTGATCCCTGCACCTCCATCTCTGCCCGGTGGGAGGGTGGGGACAGTGTCACTGCCCTGTGATTTGAGGCCGTGTCCTCTCTCCCTCCTCCCCCCAGGTGTGTTTTTTTGTCGGTCTCTATTACAACGTCATCATCGGCTGGAGCATCTTCTACTTCTTCAAGTCCTTCCAGTACCCCCTGCCCTGGAGCGAGTGTCCCCTCGTGAAGAACGGCTCAGTGGCCAGTAAGGAACAGCCCTGGGGCCGGGGGGGCTCAGCTGGGAGGGAGCAGCTCCCAGAGAAGGGGGCTGGGGGCACTGGGGACCCCCAACACCTGTAGCTGTCACAGGTTGAGGTGTCTCCTGGGGCACTGAGTCCTCTCTGCTCGCCCTGAGCACATGGAGAGCTCTCCCTTGCTGACGAGGCTGTTGGAAGATGTTAATTATGGGCTCTTGATGAATGAGGTTGGATGAGGGCCTTCCACACTCTCTGTCCCCACTAGTGGGATTTAGTGCCAGTTTGGGAATCCACAGTGTGGATTTTCAGGCTTCCTCAGTACTTGAGGCCAGGATCTGATCCAGGACCTGGCTGTTCCATTGGTGCCCGACCGAGACACTGATGGAGCTAATGGTGTTTAATATCATCTGAGCACCTCCTTGGGACACTCTGAGGGGGTTATATATAGCAAATAAAAATGTCTCTCCCTGTATTTAATATCTAATTTCCACCTGGTAATGGTTTTATGTTCTGTCTCTTATTTTTCCTGTTGAAAACAAACCCCATTAATTCCTGCCTCTTAGCTTCCAGAGGTGCCTCCCTTCCCTGGCCTGCTCCGGCGGGTTTTCCACATTAGATCAACCCCAAGAGGCAGTGGGTGACTGTCCCCCAGCCCCCTCATGCTCTCCTGTCCCTGCTCTGTTGCAGTTGTGGAGACAGAATGTGAGAGGAGCTCGGCCACCACCTACTTCTGGTACCGGGAGACCCTGGACATCTCCAACTCCATCTCGGAGAGCGGGGGGCTCAACTGGAAGATGACCCTGTGTCTGTTGGTGGCCTGGAGCCTTGTTGGCCTGGCCATGATCAAAGGCATCCAGTCCTCTGGGAAGGTGGGTATTGGTGGCCCCCTGAGCCTGGCTGGGCCCTGTGCTCAGGGCAGGAGCCTCCCACCTCAGTCTCACTTTAATTGGGATGTCAAACGTCTCCTTTGATGTTTGGTTTCAAGTGCTTCAGGTGCTCTGGAAGCGGGAGGTGGCCAGGGGAGGATGGAGAGACCCTTCCTCCTGGTCTGGGGGAGCTGGGGGGTGCTGTGACCCTTGGGATGCTCACACCCACTGCACAGTTGGGGCCATCTCCGGGGGGGTCCAGAATAAGATCAAAAGAGAGTGTAAGGAAGATGTTCAGTCCAACCTGCAGCCAGGGATCAGCCAGGGCAGCAAATCCACCTGAGCTCCAGCACTGGGAACATCCTGCTCCGAGGGGTCCCACGGCTGCCTGAGGAACAAACCTCACCCTGGGGTGGGAAACCCCCCTGGGTGGGAAACCCCCCTTTCTCCCCAGTTTGCTGCCCGCGGGTGGGACAGGGAGGTGGCTGGGTGGGAAACGAGGCTGTGCCCGTGTTGGATCCCTCTCGCTCCAGGTGATGTACTTCAGCTCCCTCTTCCCCTACCTGGTGCTGGTTTGCTTCTTGGTGCGGGGACTTCTCCTGCGTGGGGCAGTGGATGGGATCATGCACATGTTCACACCCAAGGTGAGAGCCCCCAGACCCTAAACAGCTTCTCCTCCTGGCTGGTCACACCCTATTTTCCCTCAGTTTTCTTATTCCTCTTATTAGTTCCCTATATTTCCCTCATTTTCCTCCCCACCCTAAAAATGAGAGTGCCAACCCCAAACCACCTCGGGGGTCCTGATAGGTCATCAGCACCCAAAGTTTAGGGTGTGGCCAGGACAGCCAAGAGCCTCACAAACTCACCCCCCTCAGCATCACCCTGTCCCCCTCAGCTGCCCAGACACCAGGGTGGGGGGTGCCCAAGGCCAAATATAAATATAAAGACTTCATGGAACGACTCTGTCTGGCAGCAAAACCTCTGCTGGTGGTATGTGCCTATTAATTAAGCAGCTAATTAATTAATTAAGCAGAGATGTAGATGAATCAGCTCAGCCGACAAGGCTGTTGGAAGATATTAATTATGGGCTCTTGACAAATGATGCTGGGAGGCCTCCAGGCTGCAGCTCTGGCTCCTGGGAGAGGGGGGATGTTGTTGGGGGGGATTGGGAGTTAAAAACAAATTCCCCCCAGCCAGGATGTTGGATTTCCCGTGCTCCATGTGCTCTGGAAGGAGGAGGTGGCCAGGGAAGGATGGAGACACATCGCTGGGTGGATTGTGGCTCCCTGGGGTGGGGGGACAGGGACACCCCTCCCCAGGGCAGCTGGGTCTCTGCTGGGAAGCTGCAGGGCTTTGCACTGGGAGATGGAGCAGCCAGGTCAGGCCCTGGGGCAGGTGGAGCACCCAGAGGCAGGGTCAGCTCAAACCTGTGCCTGACCTCCCCACGCCCCTGTGGGAAAGAGAAGGACTTGTGAGTGCTGGGTGATGACCTGACTGTGGTAGATCGTGGAAGTCCCAGAATGGTTTGGGTTGGAAGGGACCTTAAAGATCATCTCATTCCACCCCCCATCAAAATGCTCCCAAACCAGCCCAGTTTGGAGGCACAGCAGCCTTTTAGTGGAGCTCTGGCTCCACTGGGGTGAGCAGTGGGGTCACCAGACCACTGAACTTCTTCTCCTGTCTTCCTCCCAAGCTGGACAAGATGCTGGACCCCCAGGTGTGGCGGGAGGCAGCCACGCAGGTTTTCTTTGCCCTGGGCCTGGGCTTTGGGGGGGTCATCGCCTTCTCCAGCTACAACAAGCAGGACAACAACTGCCACTTCGACGCCACCCTCGTGTCCTTCATCAACTTCTTCACGTCCGTGCTGGCCACCCTGGTGGTGTTTGCTGTGCTGGGCTTCAAGGCCAACATCATGAACGAGAAATGTGTGGTGGAGTAAGAGCTGGGTTTGATTTGTTTGGGGTGGGCAGGTCTTTGCTGCTGCTGGTGGCGGTGGCTCTGGAGGCAACAGAGGAAGTGCTCTGGAGTTGGGTGATCCTGGGTTTTGGTGGACACAAGTTCCTGATGGCCAAGACTTGTATTTCTAGAGATGACCCACTGAGGGAGTTGGGCATTCAGCTCTTCCAGCCTAAAATCCAGCCCTAAGATGGGCTCCTAGTCTGCAAACTGCAGGTAAATCCAACACATCTCACGCCACCTGAGAGGTTCTGTTGTCCCTTAGGAATGCTGAGAAGATCCTGGGCTACCTGAACACCAACGTGCTGAGCCACGACCTCATCCCACCCCACGTGAACTTCTCCCACCTCACTGCCAAGGACTACAACGAGATGTACAGGGTGATCATGACGGTGAAAGAGGGGCACTTCAAGGAGCTGGGCTTGGACGCCTGCCTGCTGGAGGACGAGCTCAACAAGGTACCTGGTGGCACTCCCAGGAGCTCACCCACACCCATTGCCCCTCCCCGTGTCAATCCTGGGCACGTGGATCTGGAAAAACTTCTTTTAGAGACCCTCCATGGCTGGGAATCCACATCCTTGTGGTTTTCCCCTTGTGGTCCCTCCTGGGCTCGGGGTAAGGTCTGTCCATAGCAAGTCTTGCAGGGTCGTCACCAGCAGCAGACTGGGGGTTTTCTTTCCTTGAGGACTGGTTCAGGGAGGGAGACCTGAGCCATTCAGGGCCTTGAAGTCTGTGTCCCTGACGTGTTTCTTCTCATCTGTCTGTCCCGTGTCCCCTTCAACAGTCGGTGCAAGGGACTGGCCTGGCCTTCATCGCCTTCACTGAAGCCATGACCCACTTCCCAGCCTCACCCTTCTGGTCCGTCATGTTCTTCCTGATGCTGATCAACCTGGGCCTGGGCAGCATGATCGGGACCATGTCAGGCATCACCACCCCCATCATCGACACCTTCAAGGTGCGCAAGGAGGTGTTCACAGGTGAGGGCCTTTCTCCTGCAACCTCCTGGGGAAGGGGTGGGGGGTCCCCGTTGCCCTGAGGAGACATTCCAGGAGAGTGTGGACACAGTGGATGTGAACTGGGCCTTGCTAATGTAGGGAATAGGCCTTGGTGCCCGTCAGGGGGGTTTGCTGCCCACTCCAATGCAGGGAATGGACCTTGTGGTGGTCTTGGTTCTGCTCGGGGGGCTCTGCTGACCACCCCTATTTGCTCCCCACAGTCGGTTGCTGCATCTTCGCCTTCCTGGTGGGGCTGATCTTTGTGCAGCGCTCTGGGAACTACTTTGTCACCATGTTTGATGATTACTCAGCCACGCTGCCTCTCACCGTCGTGGTGATCCTGGAGAACATCGCTGTGGCCTGGATTTATGGCACCAAAAAGTAAGGAATCTGTACAGCAAAAGGAATAACTGTGCTGTGACTCCCGGCTAAAAAACCCCTCCTTCCAGCTCTTTTCCATACGGCTTCTTCTCCAAGAGAAAAGCTCAGTTCACCTTGATCCTCCTGCCCTGCCCTGGTGTAACCCAGCCCCAGGAGCAGGTTCTTTTTGTGGGTATCTCCTGTTGGTTGTGGTGCCCCGTCCCCCGAGATCGACCTTTTTTCTGAGGTTTCCACGTCCTTCTGGAAAGACACCTTGTTCCCCCCAGTGCTTCTTGTTGTTCCTGAGTTGGTCAGAGCAAAGGAGGCTCTGGATAATGCTCAAAAGGCCTTTTCCTTAGGAGTTTCCCACAAGTCCTACAGGCTTGAGGGATACTGAGATGCTCCCCAGGACCAGCTGGATTCTACTTCAGGCTCTGCCTTGAGCACAGTTTACAACAGGGGCCCCTGGGAGGGAGTTTGTCCCTTGGAGGTGGGGAGAACAGCAGGATTCCATCTCTTCCCTGGCAGGTTCATGCAGGAGCTGACGGAAATGCTGGGATTCCGGCCCTACCAGTTCTACTACTACACCTGGAAGTACGTGTCCCCCATCTGCATGGCCGTGCTCATGACCGCCAGCATCATCCAGCTGGGAGTCAGCCCCCCGGGATACAGCGCCTGGATCAGGGAGGAGGTGAGCACGGCCCCCCTCCCCATCCCAGGGGTCCTGGCTGAGCAGGGGAGAGCTGCAACTACCCCGTTCCTCCCACCTCTGCTCCCCTCTCCTGGGTGACCTCCCGCTCACCCTCTGCGAGCAGCGGCGTTTGTCCACCCGGCCCAGACATCTCCACCCAGTTCTGACCACGGAACGAAGTTTGAGTGTGGACTGTGGTTGATCTCTGTGGGCAGTACCATGTCCTTCCCCTCGATTTGAACCCACTTTCTGCCAGCTCCAGGTGTCCCTGAGGATGGAGTCTTGCAGGAGGCAGCAGGAATTGTCTCAGGAATTCAGAGCCGTGGTACCTGGTGGGCATCGCCTTTGCTGTGACAGCCCCGTGACATTAATATCTGTTCCTTCCAGGCTGCCGAGAAGTTCCTGTTCTACCCAACCTGGGCCATGGCCATCCTCATCTCCCTGATCATCCTGGCGTCCCTCCCCCTGCCCCTGGTCTTCATCCTCCGGCAGTTCCACCTCGTGTCCGACGGCTCCAACGCCCTCTCCGTCACCTACAAGAAGGGCCGGATGATGAAGGACATCTCCAACTTGGAAGACAACGACGAGACCCGTTTCATCCTGAGCAAAGTGCCCAGCGAGACCCCGTCCCCCATGCCCACCCACCGCTCCTACCTGGGGCCCGGCAGCAATTCCCCCATGGAAATGAGCAGCGCTCCCAACGGACGCTACGGGAGCGGGTACCTCCTGGCCAGCACCCCCGAGTCCGAACTGTGACGGCCCCCTGCCCGCCACCCCCGCCGGGAGAGGAGGGCACCGGGGAGTGGATCCTGGCTGTCCAGGCAACGGGAAAAAAATTCATTAATAAGGAAGACGAAGAAGAAACCCCTCTTAAAATCATAACCCAAAGCAGCCGTTCGTAAGGTGACACCGGGAAGGAGGGATTGAGGGAGGGGCAGGACTCCTCCGACAACCCTCGGCTGGAAGGCAGGACCCCCCGGGACCGCCCCCGGGGAAGGGAGGAGGAGCAAGAGACGCTGCAACACCTTTCCGAGAGTCGTTCTCAAATCTGAAGCAAGGAATCTCTTTTCTAAGCAGCTGATGGTTGGAACAAGGACCTGGAGGCAGGTTGGGAAGCCAACCCCGCTCCCTCCTGTCGCCCAGCGCTCTTCCCTCCTGTCTTTGTCCCTTATCCGGGAGGAGTCATGGCCTTATTCCAACGAGCACAATTTAACCCTCGATGTTCAGAGCACAAAAAGGTGCTGTTGTTGTCACCATCGTTGTTGTTGTTGTATCTCCTGTAGGTTTTTATAGCTGTGGACACACCCAAATGACCCCCAAAATCCTGACCAGGGTTGGCAGGGAGCAGCACGGGGGTGGCTGGGACTGTGGATGGTGGATCCTTGGAATCTTTGTTGCCACCAGCACGGGAACAAGTGGCTGGGGGTTGTTTGGAGGCATGGAGATGTCATGGCTATGGGATGAAGTGGCAGATTTTGTGTTGAGTGGCAGAAAGACTTTTGAAGGGACAGTGGTTTGGGTGTGTGAGCGTTGTGGGGTCTGGCTGGGGGAGAGGAGTCTCTCCTGGAGTTACTCCTCACGTGTGGGATGTTCTGCTGAACCAAAATCCCTGGCATGGTGACCGTCTCCTCTTGCTCCTCTCTTCAGATGGCCCAGAGGGACACCCAGAGAAGCTGTGGGACATCCAGTCCTGTCACAGTCCTGGTTTAGCTCTCAGGAAACCACCCCCTGATTTACCTCCCGTGCTCCTCCAGCCAAGGGGAGCTGGGCAGTGACTCTCTCTGGACTTGCCTCCTCATTTCTCCTCCTGTTCCCTTTGACCCCCCTTTGGAGGTCCTGTTGCACCCCCACAGGAGCTCACCAGCTTCTGGATGGGGGTGACCAATTTTTGGGGACCACAGGCATCCGTGGAGCAGCAGCTGTTGGGAGTCCCAGGAGTGGGAGATCCCAGATCTCCTTGGCTCTCGATGAGGTTGGTGAGCCCCTGCTAGAGCCCAGGGGCCTCTGTTGCGCCCATCCGTGGTTTTTTTGGGGGATCAGATTGATGTGACTTCACGTTGTTTCTCCCCAGGTTGTTTGGGAAAGGGTGGGATCTCCCAGCTCTGAGTCTCTCCCACTGGGACTGGGGCTCATTTCCCTAAATGCCACAGGCAGCCAAGCACTTCTGCCAAGGGTCCCTGGCACATTCCCCCTTTCCCAGTGGGGATAGGGAGGCAGCAGCCTGCTTGGGCTCTCTCTCCCTCTCAGCACTTTGCTGTGGCCTCCAAAAGCTGGGGGAGCACCTCATCCTCGGTCCTGCTGGGCTTGGGTCATGCACGAAGGTGTTTCAGGCCAGTCTGAAGGTCAGGTTTGGGGAGGCTGGTCCATGAGTCCTTCTCTCCCCTCCCTCTTCTGCTTTCCTGTCAATGGCTCTTCTTCCACCTTGGTTTTGTTTGGGAGGTGAAGGCAGAAGGTACCTGGTCCATTCACCACATCCTTGACCTCTCAGCATTCCTGGGCCCAGGAGGTTCCCCACAGTGACATCTCCTGTGGGTTCTGATCCTTTATTTGTTGTCCTTCATGGGCTTAGCCGGTGACCTGGGGACTCTTCCTGGACAATTAGCTCAAGCCCTTCATCAACCATTTTTCCAGGAGAAAATGGAGGCAAGGACTGAACTGAGGCAGCTCAGTGATGGCTCTGAGAGGCACCAGCTCCGTGTGGTCAGGATCAGCAGTGCTCCTCCAGCAGTTCCCCCTTCCCCATCCCTCCAAGGTCTTTCTCCTTCCCCTGTCCCTGCAGAGGGACACTGAAACATCCCCACTGCACCATCCCTGAGGGGGAGAAGCCCAAACCTGGTGGGTTTTCCTCATCATTAGTCAGCGTGTTCCTTCCCATCTCTGTTTGGATCCATCTCCACCTGACCAGCAAAACAGGAGGAGCCAAATCGTTGCCCAGTGTCCCCTTCCCGCGTTCCCCCCGTAGCTCCCATGGAGTTGGCGGAGCCAGGACACCTCCCACGGCCAAAATGCTTCACCCCATCCAGCCCCAGGGTGTGATGTTCCCTGAACCCCGCGGGGAAGGATCCAGCCCCCCATGTCTCCCCGTTCCCAAACCAGCCAGGGAGGCTTTGCTTCCCTCCCCTCTTCCTGCAGCATCAACGAGAGGCAAAGTCAACAGGAAGGCAACAAAAAAAGCTATATTATATATATATACATATATATATATATAAAATATATACAGAGAGAGGAGATGGAATAATAACCTAGAGATTCTCTATTTCTATTGTATATTTATTCTGTAAATGTCACTGTAAATGCTGTTAAATGACAAACTGTATTCCAAAGTGGCCCGTGACCTATTTTCATTCCCAGTGCTGTACAGATCAATTCTCATTCTAGAGAGGGACATATTTTTACCTTTTTATTTCTTGTCCGTGGTGGGTGGGCGTCCCTTTCCCCCCGCCCCCAGCCCAGGGAGGGTCCAACGACCCTGAGCGGATCCTGCAGAGAGGAAGAGGAGGAGGAGGAGGGGAAAGAGGAGGAGGAAGAGGGACGACGCCTTTACTTTTATCTGTGGAAATACTGTATTTTGTCGTGGCATTCGGTGTTAGACACGGGGTGTTGGGGGGGAGTGTGTGTGTGGGTGTGTGTTTTAAGTGGTCCGTGTTGTCGCGTGTGTCCGTGCGGGGGGTGTGCGCGTGTCCGTGGGTGCGCCCGGGTTTAGGATCCACTTCTGGCTGTTCTCTCTCACTTTCCGAGCCTGCCTTGGGGGTTTCTCCCGCTCGCCGGGGCAGGTTCTCCCTCCACACTCCTCCTCGGGGTCCCAGGCTGTGGGTGGGGCCGACCCCCGGTGGCTTTTAGCCCCCGAGATCCCGTTTTTTCCCTCTCTCTCTGCACAGAGGCACAGGGAATAGCTGCTAGTTGTGAGCACAGGCACTTTTCAGTTTTCCTCCAGGCAGTGGGACGAGGAGGGGGAACCGCTGCCGATGTCCCCGTCCCCCCACATCAGCTCCCTGCTCGGTTCCCAGCCCAGATCCTGCTGCCGGGAGCAGTGTGCTGTCCCTGGCTGGGGGACAAGGAGGTGCTGGGGGGATTGGGAGGGGTCCAAACCATGGGGACAGAGCTGGGGAGGGGTTCAGTGGGTCTGGAGAAGGCAGAAAGGAGGTTGCAGAGGGGGCACCGCCTTGTGCTACTGGTGCAGCCTGTAGGGCTGGAGTTGGGATGCTCCATCCCCCAGCACCGGGCTCTGCTCCAGGGGCTGGACCTTAATCCCGGAGTCAGAGGGGATGGCTGGAGCCAGGTCCTCAAGTGTCCCACGGCTCCTTCCCCTCAGTCCCTCCAAAACAGCCCTTGCCTCACCTCCCAGCCCTCACCCAGACCCTGGCAGGCCACATGGAACCCCAGCACCTCCAGGAGCAGCTCCCACTGCCTTCTCCCGTCCCTGCTCCCTCCTTGAGCCCGGATCTCGCTGGCAGGGGGGGGAGCAGAGCTGGGTGGCCTTGGTGGCCAGGACAGTGGCCTTGGTGGCTGGGAGGGACAGTGCAGGGCCACGGGAGCCCCCAGGTTGAAGCTGCTTCCCCTGGGGAAAGCACAACGCTGGCAAAACCCTCCTGTACAGGTAAAAGCACAGATCCCATCGTGACACATCCCTGTATCCCCGTAGTTCCCATCGGGCTCCTCGGCCATCGAGAGAAACCCTGTAAGAGCTGTATCAGAGTCTGATTAAAAGTCTCTTCTTACCAAACCTCTTCTCACCAGGTGTCTTCTCTGCCTCTGTTCCTTTCTTGGGGTGGGCTTTGGGGTCTCTCTGAGGTTTGAGGTGGCAGAGAGATAAAGCCGAGGGCATTGTTGGCATCCAGGGGCATTGGGGTCATTCCCTTCCTGTCCTTTCCTGTCCCCACTGTTGTCCTTCTGTGTCCCCTCACCCCTTCCAGCACCAGCCCCTGCAAGGGGCTCGTTCAGAGCAGGCAGGTGCTTCAGGAGCATCAGGGAGGTTGTTTTCCATCCCGGACCAGTTCAACCAGTACACACTGGCTTTCTGGGGCACGTGGACTGGTGAGACACAGCTTCTGCTCCTCTGCAGAACACCCAGCCAACAGTGCTGGGGGCTCATCCTGAGCCCTGGGGGTCCTGGGAGTCTGGAGACTCTCCCTGGAGAAGGATTTCCAGCCATCCCAGATGCCTTCAACTGCTGGGAATCAGCTTGGCAACAGGTTTGGTGGGGAGAGGGGCTGCCCTTTCCCTTCCTCCCCATCTCTGGTAGCTCATTTGGCTTCTCCAGGGCTGATCCAGCCCCTGGGAACGTGAGGAAGGGGTGAAGAATTCAGGATGTGTCCCTGGGCACTGGGGATGCCATCAGGGCACTGGAGATGCCATCAGGGCACTGCCATGGCCACGAACTCAAGTTGTCCCCCTGCACTGGCAGCTGGGGAGGAGCAGGGCAGGTTTTTTGGGCACCTTTGCACCATGTGGAGATGTTGGTGCAGGAGTGGGGCAAGTGTCTGACCCAGCTGGAGGAGCAGCACTGCCCAGGGAAGGGACAGGAGGTGGCACAGGGGGTGTCTGTGCCCAGAGGGTGTCCAGGAAAACACCCCCCAGGAGCAATGACCAGGACAAGGGGACACGTGGGACAGCTCTGACCCCGCACAGCTCTGGGGGAGCAGGGAGGGAGATCTCAGCTCCTCCTCATCCTCAGTAAGGGGGCACGGGGGGGATGCAGGAACAGCCCCCACAGAATCCGTGGGGACCCACGGGAGGGGTCACTGCTGTGCTGAGCTGGCCGGACTCAGCCCTTCCTGTGCTCCCAGAGCGTCTGGAGCGGCCAGAAAATCCCAGAGCTTGCTGAAGGAAATAAACTTAGGGGGTAGAAAACCAACACAGAAATGGGTCCAAATGTAGAATTTAAGCCAACTACCTACTTTGGGAAAAAAAATTAACTGAATTTGCTGTGGCAGTGAGGGAGGGAGATTTCAGAGCCCGGTGAGAGGTGAAGGTTGGTGCTGTCGGAGCGGGGGTGGGGTTTGGGTGTCCCATCTCAAAACAGCTCAGGGCACGGACACACGGTGGAGCTGCTACAGCAACATCTTGCTGTGATTCCCTGAGCACCTCGGAAAGGAAAAGGACAGTTATCCCGATGTTCAAATACAGGGAAACCGAGACACAGCACAGCTCCCGCACCTCTCCCGTTCATTCCAAAGGCAGACGATCTCCACTACCGTCTCTGCTCCAGCCCAGCCTCCTCCCACTCCCAAATTGCTTTTATGGAGCAAAATTGCATCAGCGACGCTGTGGATGGAGCCAGATTCTCCCCAGAGCCAGCCACGCTCCCGTGTTTTCCCTGCCTCGGCTCCAGCCGGAGCGCAGGACACAAGATGGCACTGTCAGACAGAGCACGGGGACCTCGCCGGGAATCTGGGAAGCTTTCCCTGCCTGGGAATCAGGGATGAGCGAGCTCCCCTTCCAGGGAGAGGCCGCAGAGGGATGGGGCTACAAACTCTGTCTGTTCAACCTGCACAGCTAAAATGGGTAATTTTAGCTGAAAAATTCACCTGGCAGAGGCAGATGGTGAAGATGGACCTTACCCAGGGCACGTGACAGCTTTTTTTGGGAAGACCCTCCTCCAAGAGAGTGCCCAGAGAGGCTTCTTGGGGCTCACACCCTGGGGAGAGGGTGCTGTGGGTGCCACCACCCACAGATGCCACCACTGGAAATGGATCTTATCCCACCAAAAACACGATGGGAAGAGGGCAGAGACCTTGTTTGGAGCACCCAGGGGTTCCTGAGGTCAACATATCTTTTAGTAACAGAAGCCTGGGCTGGAAGGACATGGAGGGGTTGGTTTGGCTGTTTCTACACCAAAGCAGGATTGTCTCTCCCTAAACTGAGGCACCTGATCTACCTCCCACCTCCATCCCTTCATGGATGGAGACATGGCAGGATCCCGGCGTGTCCCCAACCTCTCCAGGAGGCCACTCAGCTCTCTGAGCATCCCATGGCCTGTGGTGCTGGTCTCTCCCACCTCTGGGGACTTGCCCAGTGGACCACGGGCAAGGCTCAGAGTGTTGGGCCGGGTCAGGGGGTGAGACCAGTGGGGTGGACCAGAGACCCCTCACCACATCCTCAGGACCCACCCAAGATGTGTGGCTTTCCAGGTTGGAGCTGATCCTCCTTGAGGTCTTCCAGGTCCTGCTCTTCATTCCATCCTTTTCCTGGATGTTATCTGAGATGCCCTGAGCCTTGCAGGAGTTCCCTGCAGAAGTGACTCCCTTTTGCTCCAAAAAGGCCCTTATTCATCCAGCTCTTGCCATTTTCTCTCTTTCTCTCTCTCTCTCTTTTCTTTTTTTTTTTTCTTTTTTTTTTTTTTTCCTCCCATGGACATTAAAAATCCAAAGGCATATTTGGAGAGCAGACAGCTTTGGGCGGGTGTTGCTGGGCTAAAAGATCTCTTCCTTCCCCAGATACAACCCATTTGTCTGCCTGGCCACCTCCTCCCGCCCCGGGAACGGCCGCGCTTGGGTGCACGGAGCTCTCCCCGGCGGGATGAAAGTCTCCGGATAAAAAATTAGCCGCAGGTCGCAGCATTCCTTCCTCCGGGCCAAACTCGCCTCGCCGCCACTGAGGAGCTGAGCTGCGATGCCTGGCCGGTGATGCAAGGCTCGATTTTTCCAGCACGGTTTTCCCTCGGGCTCCAGGCGCTCCCGCCGGTGCAGCTCCGGGTGCTTCGGGTGTGGAGCTCCGCCAGCCTCCACCCGCTCGGGATCCGGCCCTGGAAGCTCTGGAGTTGCAGGCACAGTTGGAGCAGGGCTTTCTTGGTGGTAAGATCTGAGCGTGGCTCTCGTGCCCCGTGGGTTTTTTTTTTTTTTTTTTTGGGTGGAGCGTTTGCCCCAACCACCCCCAACACCCCGTGGATACGGGGGGCACATGTGAGGGGACAAAACTGGGCAGGGGGTGACCAGGGGACCTGGGGGGACGCACCACAGAGCGCTGGGAGGTGCAGAGAGAGATGCTGGGGCAGCATCCCCCGCTCACTAATCACAACCCTCACCCTCGCCCTGCACCAAGGACCCCCTTATCCAAGTGCTGATCCCTCTGGATCAGCCCCCCACCCCAATAACAGGCCTGTGCTGGGCTTGGATCCCCTCCATGACCCCCAAACCCCCACTTGCACACTCCCCCACCACCCCCCCAGCACCAGCAGTGCCAGTGCAGGAGTAAACAGCACTGGCAGGATGAGTCCCTCGGGTCTTCCCCGGGGTGACAGCCTTGGCCCCTGGGGCACCACAGCTCCTCCCCTGACTCAGGAGCCGGGAGTGAGCGCCACCAGCCCCCCGGGGGTGTGGGACCCCCCCCAAGGAAGGGGGGATTTAGGGGAGAGAGCCCCGGGGGTGGTCGGTACCCCGGGTCCCAGCCTCGGCGGCCGCGGAGGGGAAGGGACATCGCTCACGCAGGAGCCGAAACAGGGCGGAGAGATGCTCGGGGAGGGCAGTGGGAGGGAAGGGGGGCCAGGTCTGTGTGCGGCCCCCCAGCTCCTCACCGGCCCCGGGGTCGGTCTCTCCTGACCTCTCGCTGAGCGAGGGATTGCGAGCCAGGGAGGGATGGGATCTGCGGGAGCCTCTGCCAAGAGCTGGCTCCAGATCCGCAGGCAGCTCTGGGCTGCATTTCCCCTCCGGCGCGAAGCGGAGCTGGGGTGTCCGAGGTTCACTCCTCGCTGACACCGACCCCCCGAGACCCTCAGCGGCACGTCGGGCCCCGCGGGGAGGTGAGCGGTGCCCGGGGGTGCGGGGGACCTGCGGGGAGGCGGGGGGCTGGGCTGGGGGTGGGTGGAGGGGATGGAGGGATGGATGGAGGGATGGGAGGATGGAGGGGAGGGAGGGATGCGGGGATGGGAGGGAGGGCAGCGGCGGGGAGCGCCGGAGGGGGCTGCGGGGCTGGGCGCTGGGGCGGGGGGTCTCCGGCCCCCCGGCGGGGCGGTGCCGGCTCCCGTAACCCCGCCGCTCGCTCCCAGCCCTATAAAAGCCCCGCCGAGCCCCGCAGTCGCTCCCGCCGCCTCCCCCGCGCCGAGCCCCGGGAGGCACCGCCGGGGAGCAACAGGCCCCCCTGGCCCGGCCACGCGTGAGCGGAGCCCCCCGGGGAGGGGGAGCGGGAGGGGAGGCGGAGGGGGCGCATCCATCCCCTCCTCACCCTGCCGGGGACCGGGGACTTGCCCCCCGGCCGCCGCCCCCTCCCCGAGCCCGGCCCGGGGGGGGCGGAGGGAGCCGCCGGAGCGGGAGGGGCGGGCGGCGGGGCCCCCCCGCGCTTGGCGCTGCAGGTACCGGGCCGGGGGGGACACGGCGCCCGGCGGGGCCCAGCATCCCCCCATCCCTTCCCCAGCATCCTCCCGGCTGGGCCCGCAGTCCCCCCCGCCCGCCCCGGGCCCCCTCCATCCCGCACTTGTTGCTGCCCGGTAGGGCTGCACCGGCTCCCGGTTTAGGGCGGTTTTATTCGGGGGGGTGGTTTGGGAGGGGGTGGAGGTTGCAGCCTCCCCTGCTGTCCCCCGGCAGCCAGCGGTGTCCGGCTCGGCTCCAGCTCGCTCCCCCCGAGGCCAGAGCCGAGCCTGAGCCTCCCCTTTTCCCCTCCCCAGTCCCATCTGTGCCCCCCACTCCCGCCTCCGCCGACCCCCGGCTCCTCGCCCCGAGGAAGGGTGTGCGTTCCGTGCATCTCCCATCCACCGAAATCTATGATCAGCTCGGTGTGTGTCTCCTCCTACCGTGGACGCAAGTCTGGGAACAAACCACCCTCCAAAACATGCCTGAAGGAAGAGATGGGCAAAGGGGAAGAGTCGGACAAGATCACCATCAACGTAGGGGGCACCCGGCATGAGACCTACAAGAGCACCCTGCGGACTTTGCCGGGCACCCGCCTGGCCTGGCTCGCCGACCCCGACGCCCAGAGCAACTTTGACTTTGACGGGAAGAGCAACGAGTTCTTTTTCGACCGCCACCCCGGGATCTTCTCCTACGTGCTCAACTACTACCGCACGGGGAAGCTGCACTGCCCCGCGGACATCTGCGGGCCCCTCTTCGAGGAGGAGCTCACCTACTGGGGCATCGACGAGACCGACGTGGAGCCCTGCTGCTGGATGACCTACCGGCAGCACCGCGACGCCGAGGAGGCCCTGGACATCTTCGAGAGCCCCGAGCCCGGCGGAGGGGCTGCTGGAGAGGAGCCTGAAGAGGAAGGGGGTAGGGAGATGGCCTTGCAGCGCCTGGGCATGGATGACAGGCCCCCCGGGGCGGCGGGGGCCGCTGGAGGGGGTGGCTGCTGTCGGAATTGGCAGCCCAAGATGTGGGCGCTCTTTGAGGATCCCTACTCGTCCAAGGCGGCCAGGGTAAGATCCCGGAATGCGCCGGTGGGGATGTGGGATGGGGCCCTGCTTGGGGTTGTGTCTTCAACTCTCTGTCCCTGTGGTGAGATGGACTTTTCTTGTGGTTTATGTGGGTGCCCTCATTGCCATCCCCCTCCTCCCATCGGGCACGTTGGCCGTCCCCCATCCTACAGGACACCTCTTCCATCATCTCCCAGTCTCCTCCCAATGCATCACACCTGGGGAAGCTGGGCTGAAACTGGAGGCAAACCCAATCCCTGCCTCCTTTGCACCCTCAGGTGCTGCCTGGGCACCTCTGGGGCACATGGAGATGAGGGATTGCTCTTGGAAGGGCTGAGTCTTGGCAGAGGCCGAGGTTGCTCTAGGACAGGCAGAGTGCTTGGGTTCCTCTCGCTGGGTTATGACCACGCCAAAACCCACATTCAGTGGCCAAGGTGTGGAGAGGGGGTCAGGGCTGGTCCTGAAGCAAACGGGATCCTCATGACTGTCCCCAAGGAGCTCGTGCTCCTCTTCTGCAGCAGCAGCAGTCCCGAAGGACACCCCGTGGCCCCCTGTCCCCCACTGTCACCGTGTCGATGCCGCCCACGGCGCCCATGAGGACACGGTGCCCATCAGGACATGGTGCCCATCAGCACGTGAGAGCACAGGCTCTCAGCTGTTAACACACAAAACACACCCCCCCGGCCCCCCCCCCCCCGTCCCCAGGGCCCCAGTACCGTGTGCTCACACACGTGAGCAGGACCCCACAGTCCCCTCGGGCCTCCCTGGGCACACAGACAGTCCCTACCCACGGGCACCAACATGCCCGGGATGTTTTCCCCAAAACCAGGTGCATCTCCAGGCTCTCTGTGCATGTGTCCCCTCTCCCAGCTGCTCTCAGATCACCCCCAAAACGCTGTCCCCCAATCCCCAGACACCCCCCTGTACCCACCCAGTCCCATCCCCCGTCACGCCCAGCTCAGAAACCTGCCCCACACACAGAGGCGGGCATTTGGGATCGAAAGGAATTCTGGATGTACTTAGAGGTGTAAAAAAACCCCATCGATGGCAAGAAATCCTGCAGGCATTTCACACCCACCAGCAGCTCAGGGCAGGGGTCGGTTTGGCAGGGAGGTGTTTTTGTAACACACACCCGCAGAGGATGCTCGGGCAGGGAGAGCTGAACTCCTTCTAAAAGGGGGAACCCGCTCCTTTGCCCATCTCTGCGGGCTCATCACCTCAGGGAGATGCTGAGCGGTGCAAAGCTCCAAATAAAAAATTCAACAAAATTAAAAATAAACCCAAGCACAATAATTCAACTCCTTACCCCCTCCTCCCCCCGCCATGGTGTTATTTGGATTTGCTTCTCCCGTGTTTCCTGTTTTCCTGTGTGCTGAGCTGCTCCTGGAAAGGCTTTAGCAAGAGGAATGTGTTGGAGGGAGCAGAGATGGTCGTGATGGAGCCCTGGCTGGGGCTCGAGTGGGACTGGTTTGTACTGGGAGCTCTCTGCTTCCTTCTCACTGCTCTGTGCTAAAGGCTCAGCAATGCCAGGGGAATGGTCACCTTTCCAGGTCACCACTGGGAAAAATACCTGTGTGGCTTGGGAGAAGGGGAATCTGAGGCACAGAGCAGTGAAACCAACCCCAGTGAGTGCAACCTGCCCAGTGTTCCCCATCTGGAGTAACCATCCAGCACTGGGATGTTCTGGGGGCCACGAGCATCTCTGTGGGTGCAACGTTCATGATGCTGCCCTGATGTTTTGGGCTGGTGAGGTTTGGGGTGGTGGGGATTCCTTTAACACTGCCCCGTTTTGGGCTGGTGAGGTTTGGGGTGGTCAGGATTTCTTCAATTCTACCCCATTTTGGGGCCTCCTCCTTCCTTCCCAGAGCCACAGGGGTGCTGCTGGTTGCAGGGAATGCTCCAGAGCAGCCAGTCTTGGTGCATTTTGCCAAACCTTGGGAAGCAGCAGTCCCAGGGTGTCCATGTAAACCCTCAGCTGTGACTAAGAGTCTCAGGAGCTGAATTTCTCCTCCCTGTGGAGCAGCCCCTCGGGCCCTGACTCAGTGGCTCCCTGCTATTTCCATCTTTCCCTCCCTCCAGCACTTCTCCCGAGCTGCCAACTGCATGGTTAGAAATCCCTCCCAAGTTTTTAGCCCCTTTTCCATGTCCCATTGATGTCCATGGGATCCCTGGCTCCTCAGTCCAGTCCACTCCCAGGGAATTTGGTCCCTGGTGCAGCTGCTGTCCCAGCTGGAGTTTAACACTTTTCCTCCCCACGGGAAACTGCCCTGGCCGGGATTTCACCTCTACTTCCAAATTCCTCCTACTTGGAGCTCCTCACTATTTTTCCCCATTTGGGGAGCCCTGGCCTCGCTTCCATGGGCACTGCCAGGCTGGTGAGCCCCTGTAGGGCCATGGATTCTTTGGGAACACCCATCTCAAGCTGCTGAGCACAGGTTGAGATCACACAGATCGTCAACAGGTTCTGCAGGACTTGTTTGTGAGAGTTCTGGTGTGTACTGGTGGTACTGGGTGAATACATAGATTTGGTTTTATTTTAAAGACATTTTGGAAAAGAGCTTGAGTTTTGAGCAGAGACTGAGACACCTTGGGTCAGACACAAAACTGGAGCAGCACTGTTGGTTTGGGGGGGGACACGATGGTTTGCACTGGCTGTGAACCCGACTCTCCTATTTTTAGAGGTTGTTTTTGCTCCTGGAGCTAAATCAGGTCTCACCTCACTCTCACACAGCAGAGCTGCCTCATTACCCGAGTGTTCACAGGGTCTCACCCCCTTCCTTGGTCTTTTATATTTCTTCCTACTTTGAGTCCAAGTTTTTACTCTTGAGGTTTTCCCGAGATTCCCAAACAGGGAAACTCAGGAACATGAGTCAGCCATCAGCTGAAAGCGGATTATTTTGGCTGTGCCACTGCTGTGTAGGGACACTTGCCTGGCTAAACTGGCCTTCAGATCTCACTTTTTGTTGGATTTGCTTCCCAAACTGCACGTGGCTCATCGGCCTTCAGAGCCACACGTGGTCCAGCAGGGTCTGATTAAGGGGTGAGGAGCATCTCATCCCATCCCTGAGCTGGTGTCTGGGGTGGGACACTCACCTTCCAGAGGTTTCTCCAGCAATTAATGCCTGGTTTAACCCTCCCACCAAACCCTTGGAGGGCTGACACTCCCTGTGCCGTCCCCCCCACGGGTTTGCCCTTGGGGACACCCCTCAGGGATGCTCCTGGCAGGCTCTGGGCTTCCACTCCAGGGTTGGGTTTTTCTCCAGTGTGACTCAGGCTCTCTGTGCTGCTGATTCACTCCAGCCAAGGGCTGGGGCTGTCTCCTGGAGCAGCCTCATGGAGCAGCTCTTCCCAACGCAGCCGCTGGGGTGGGTTGGACAGCAAATGGTCTCATCCTGCTCAGTGCAGGGGCAGCAAAGGGGCTGGAGCAGGATCTGCTCCCAGGGAGCCAAACCCACTGTGGTTTTGTGCTGGAGGAAGGTGGAACAAAAGCAAGAGCTTTTCTGCTCAGAGGCTTTTTTTTTTTTCAGGGGCTCTTGGAAACAGATGCTCTGGGTAAAGGACTCATCATGAGCTCATCCTGCCGGGAGGGGGCTGAGCAGGATTGATGGGGCACCACAAGGTGGTTCTTTCTGACACAGCCTCTGATTTCCACCCTCCTCGCTGATATCCACGAGGAGGAGGTGGCATGGAGGGGACAAAGGTCTCACTGGTCTGCCAGAGGGGACAAATGGGAACATCTGGGTGTCACCAGGCACAGGCCTCAGTGGGAGGCTGAGCTCTGCCTGCTCCTCTCCTTGTCCTACCCTCTCAGTCTTGGGACCTTTTGTGGGCACATCATCCACCACGGACCCTCAGGGAGCAGGAATGGAGTGAAAGGACATCTCTGACACATCCAGCCCCCAAACCTCACAGTCATGAATGATGAGAACCTCTCATCTGGCGTGATTTGGGATGCACGTGGGGGAGAGCTCTTTGACTTTGTCCTCTTAAAATTGAAGAATTAAATTCTTAAATTTTGTGTCTGTTCCCAACAGAGTCTCACTCTGATCCCAGGCTGTTCCAGGTCTCCCTTCATCCCCATAACTGTCATTTCTGGCACATCTCCAGCCACAGCTGGAGCCCAGCTCACCTTGCCATGGACAGATCGTAGCACTTGGAGAAAGGTTCTGGCCCCAGACACCGAGGTTTGCTGCCAACTCAATAGGACAGGTCCAGGAACCCTTCCCTGCTCTCCACCCTCGGTCTTGGCGCCGTGGCTGGCAGCTCCTGGGGTGTTTTGAGCCTCCCCCAAAGAGGAGAGGTCGCCCCACATCACTCATGGCCTGTGTAATTCCTGCTTTCCCAGGTCGTTGCTTTTGCCTCGCTCTTCTTCATCCTGGTCTCCATCACGACCTTCTGCCTGGAGACGCACGAGGCCTTCAACATCGACGTCAACGTGACGGAGACCCTGGTGGTCGGCAACACCACGACGGTGCTGCTGACGCACAAGGTGGAGACGGAGCCCATCCTCACCTACATCGAGGGCGTCTGCGTCCTGTGGTTCACCCTCGAGTTCCTGGTTCGCATCATCTGCTGCCCAGACAAGCTCCTCTTCGTCAAAAACCTGCTCAACATCATTGACTTTGTGGCCATCCTGCCCTTCTACCTGGAGGTGGGTCTCAGCGGCCTGTCCTCCAAAGCCGCCCGGGACGTGCTGGGCTTCCTGCGGGTGGTTCGCTTCGTCCGGATCCTCCGGATCTTCAAGCTGACGCGGCACTTTGTGGGTCTCCGGGTGCTGGGCCACACCCTCCGCGCCAGCACCAACGAGTTCCTGCTCCTCATCATCTTCCTGGCCTTGGGGGTGTTGATTTTCGCCACCATGATCTACTACGCCGAGCGCATCGGGGCCAAGACGTCCGACCCCACCGGGAGCGACCACACCCACTTTAAGAACATCCCCATCGGGTTCTGGTGGGCCGTGGTCACCATGACGACCCTGGGCTACGGTGACATGTACCCCAAGACCTGGTCGGGGATGGTGGTGGGGGCTCTGTGTGCCCTGGCCGGGGTGCTCACCATCGCCATGCCCGTGCCCGTCATCGTCAATAACTTTGGGATGTACTATTCCTTGGCCATGGCCAAGCAGAAGCTGCCAAAGAAGAAGAAAAAGCATATACCCCGTCCAGCCCCTCTGGACTCCCCCACCTATGGCAAATCCGAGGAAAACTCCCCCCGGAACAGCACCCAGAGCGACACCTGCCCGTTGGCAGTAGAGGAGGGGGCGACCGAGCGGAAACGATCAGGTGAGACCCCAAAGGTGTCTCAGGGAGGGGGAGACCTCCGAGAGCACCCAAGGCAATATTTTTGGCCCCTGTGACCCTGGGGATAGTGCAGGGTGTGGCCTCCATCTCTGGGGTGGGTGAGAACTCGGTGTAGAAGGGGCTGGGACCTTTGGGTGTGAGGTGTTGGGGGCCCTATTGGTGGACCAGGATGCTGCAGATCGAGTCCCCTCTCCAGGAAAGGGGGGAAGGCCGTATCCTGCTCTTCCAAAAGACATACCGTGCTCTCCTAATGCCATAGATCAACTCACCATGGTGGGATTCCAGGTGTTCCTCCATTGCCCACCTCTCCCTCACGCTGACAAAGGTAAGGCCACTTGCCCAACTCCCATCTAAACCTGGTCATCCCCTTGGGACAGATTTTCCTCTGCTTCCTCCCACCATAAACCATGGAAACCTCCATCAAAATGGATAAATCCATGGATGTTCCCTGGGGCTTGACCCCACCTCCCCATTCATTTTCTGGTGGACACAATCCCTGCATGGCTGTTCCAAACCCTGAGCAAAACCAGCCCCTGGACATTTATTATTTGCTCTCATCCTGAAGTCTGGGGTTTGGCCAGTCCTTCCTTTGGGTCGGGATAGGCCATGGCTCCAGTTGTGGGCACCAACCCCTGGGCTCAGCCTGTGGGTCTCTGAGAGCTCTGTCAGGGTGTCACCGCTGGCCATGGCAGCTGCTCTGCCCTTTTCCTCTTGGTTTGCTGCCAGTGGCACCTCTGGAACAGCTGGAACAGGAGGGATCACGGAGGGGTTGTGTCCTGCACCAACGTGATCTCACTGAGGTCAGCCCTGGACAGCTGCACATCTGGAACACGTGCTTAACAGTGTCCTTCGTCTGCAGGGACATCTGAATGCCCCAAACAGCTTTTTTCCTTATAAATCTCCCTTTTCCGTGTGCCTGCACATCCTGTCTGCCCCAGGAGCCCTGGCAGCGGGAGCAGGAGCTCTGCAGGAGCAGGTCAGCCCTGTCCCTTCCCCCCCAGGAGCTCAGGCCAAGCCCTCCCGTGGCAGAGCCTCCTCTCAACTAAGGAACCAGGGAGTCGGTGACATTAATTAGCACCTCCCACTGTCCCTGGTAAGAATTTTTGGAGAGCTAATTCCCACCAATCAAGTGGGTGGATCTCAAAGACCTGGGGGTTTCCTCCCTAGCTTTGGCTTCACGCAGGGTTTATAACCCTCAGCAGGGGAGGAGCTGCTCTTTGCTGCTTGGAATTAAGTCTGGGGTAGCCCTGCTCCCCTGGAGTTAATTACTCCAAATTAACATGTCCAGGCTGGGATTGTCCCTGAATTGGTGGGTTTTGCCTGGACTGTCTGCAACCTGGTTTCATCTGCTTCCTTGAATGGTCTGACCAAACCCTTCTGGCCACCACAAGCACCTCGTCCTGTGGCTTTGTCAGCTGCTGATGGGTCTCTGCCACCTCCTTGCAGACTCCAAGCAGAACGGGGAGGCCAACGTGGTGCTGTCGGACGAGGAGCAGCCGCTGTCGCCGACGGACGAGGGGAAACGGCCCGTGCGCCGCTCCAGCACCCGGGACAAGAACAAGAAATCCTCCACGTGCTTCCTGCTGGCCACGGGGGACTTCTCCTGTGCGGCTGATGGAGGCATCCAGAAAGGTATGGCTGGAGGTGTGAGCTGGCAGGGGGAGGTGGAGGAGAGAGGTGGAGGTTTGTTGTTGATCCAAGGCAGGGGTTCATCTCCATCCACCCCCTGGCTCTTCTCTGCTCCCCAAATCCATGTCCTCCTTCCTCTCCATCTGCTTCATCTCCGTCCACCACATCTCTCTGTGCTGGCCTCACACTTTTTGTTTTCTCCTCCCCCTGACTGCCCCTGTTTGGGGTCTGTGACCCCTGCCCTGCGTGGGGACAGGTCTGTCCCTTTGCTCCCCCAGTGCTCCAACTTCTGCCCCTCCAACTCTTCTCCCTGGGCTTCAATTGTCCATCTCAGGGTGGTGTGAAAGGGACATCTCCTGGGCACGTGGTGAGGTTGTGGCTGAAGGTGACCAAAAGGTTTTCAGAAGGGAAAAAAATCCCCATGTTTTCCTTTCCTCTCCCCCCCGACGGCTCTCGGTGGGTTCGAGCGTGGGGAGCTGTGATGTGTCAAGTGCTGCCTTGCCAGAAGCTCTGGGCTGCCAGAAAGGCTCCTCTGGGTTTGGAAAGGGAGCTGTGCTTAAGTGTTGAGGTTTTCCACGGGAAACTGAGGGGGAGATGAGTCAGGAAAACACAAAACTCTTCCTGCCATGAGAAAACAAAGTCCCCTTCAGCCTGGTCCCAGCCCTCTCTGCCCCTCTCCCACCAACTCAGCCCCTGTGAGGGTAAATCCAGTGCCACAAAATCCAGCTGCACCCTTGATTGCTGGGATAATTCTTAGGGCAGGGCTCAGATTTTTAGCTCTGCAGGTTTTTTTGTGTGTTCAGGCTGCTGCCTGTTGCTCCCAGGGAATGGTGCCTGGAGCTGGGATCAGGCAGGAGGAGGGATGAGCTGCTCACCAAGACCTGTAGCTTTGGAGACCCTCAGGGATCTGTTGTGGGAGTGGTTGGGATGGTAGAGACTGGATGGGCTTGGGATGCAGGGAGGTGTTTGGGGGCAATCACACTTATCACAGTAGTAAAAGCAAATTGGTTGTTTCCTCCTGGGAAATCAAGGATTCCCTTTGGCATTCCGGCTCAACCGTAGAAAAGAGGGAAAATGAAAAGCTTTGCTCATCTTTGGGCAAATACTGTCAAATGTTTGCTTGAAATGCTTCATGCTTTTTTCCTGGAAGTTCCTTTTCCTGTGAAGTTGGTCTCTTTTCTTAATGCCTGTTAATGTGAAGATGTGAGGGGGCTCCAGTCCTGCTCCAGACTGGGGGGGGGGGGGCTGAACTGAAAGGGATGAAGGAGAGGGATGAAAGCCAGTGCTGATCATCATCCTCAGAAAATGCTGAAGTTGGGCATCTCTTCAGCTGAAGCCTTTGAACCTGGTCCCACTGGAGCCTGGAGGAGCCCTAAGAGCTGAGGATCCAGAGCTGCTTTCACTGCTCCCAAATCCCATTTCTGGGTTGCAGGAGACCGGGAGGTTTCTCTCCTTGCGTGGTGGCAGCAGCATCTACTGGAAAGGGCACTTTGGTGATCGTTTTTGGGGTGTTCTGGTGTCTTCCCTGCAAATATCACAGTGCTTTTTACAATTTAAAACAGAGGTGTCCATGGTTCACTTACCCCCCTGTTGCTGAAATGGTGTTGCACTTGGACACGAGTGGATGCAGAGGAGCTTCAGAGATGCTTGAGACCTTTTGGGAAGAGGGAACCTCAATGCCTGGGTCCTGCTGGTGGGATGGGTGGGATGCTGTCCCAGGAGGTCAGGGGGAAATGCTCCAGAGATCAGGGGTGCCCAGAGGTGACCAGGGGGCAGAGCAGCCTCCAGGCAGGAGCCGTTGGGAGCCGCAGAGGCTCCTCTTCCCTCGCTCCTGATTTATCTCCTGCTGAGGCTGTTTGTTCTGGTCCTGGGTTCTTGGCAGCTCTGCAAATTGAGATGAGCTTGGTTCTGAGCCCGGCTCTCTGATGGCCATCTGTCAGATCCTGGGACAGGTACTGGTGTCTGTGCAAGCTGTGGAAAGCAGGAGATGGAGCTGGTTCAGGAATAGGCTGCAGATCTTGGTATTTATCATGGATCAAGCCCAATTCCAGTGGTTGGTCTTGTTGGGGCAGCTCAAAGAGAAGAGTTACCCCTGCCCACCACCCCTTGGACCTGGGCCTGGGCAACACAGAGCTGGGGTGCTGTGGATTCCCATGTGGAATGTGTTTCTTGCCCCTGTGGATGCTTCCAGTGGTGTCCCTTTGCTCCCTTGGTGCCAGGGATGGTTTCAGACCCCTGATCTCCCTTCAGCAGTTCCCAAAAATGTGTCCTGCTGGGCACGTTTGCATGAGTCTGCTTTGGAATGTGAGCCTTGTCCTCTGCTTGGATGGAGGGATAGGGAGGCAGGAAGGGTCCAGCACCCCCAGTGCCAGTGAGATGGGTTATGATGGAATCATGGAATCATTTAGGTTGGAAAAGAGCTCTGAGATCGAGTCCCATTGTTCCTCCAGCGCTGCCCATGTCCCCAAGTGCCACATCCACATGTCTTTTAAATAACTCCACCCCCTTTATCAGCACATTGACGTGGCCCAGCAGCAATTTTTGGCTCTGTGGCCAAACCCAGAGCGTTTGCAGCTGATTTTTTCCTCTGCCTCTCGCTGTCAGTGCAGGGCCATGACCTGGGATGGAGCTGGGGATGCTCCCATGAGCTTCCACTGGCAATGCCTGGCTGGGGGGAGCAAGGAGCAGCCCATGGCCAGGGCTGTGTTAGGAACAAGCACAGGCATTCCCGGGCACTGCTGCCTCCCTGCTTTACCCTGTCCCATCTGCTCCCACCTTCCCCCCCCCATGCACTGGGAACTGAGTATTTCCTGAGGGAAGCCCAGCCTGGGAGGCCCCCCTGGGGTCACGCAGTGTCCCCTCACTCTCTTTATAGGCAGCAAACCTGTTTGTAAAGCAATCCCAGTGACCTGAGGTAGCACTGGAGTTACTGGGATTCTGGCTCTGTTAATGAACTGCAGCCCTGGCAATTAGCAGAACACAATCCCCTGGTGCTTTGTGGCTCCTCCTGGCCCTGAGCTTGGTGGAAAACCACGATGGACTTGAGGGATGGAGCCCTGAGCTCCTTCCCAGGTGCTCCTGTGAGTGTGGCTTGGGAATAAACTGATGGAGAGAATGGAGCGTTGGGCTCGGGGAAGGTTTGCCCTTGGAGCTGCAGAGGGTCCCTGGGGGAATCCAACATCTTTATGAAGTGCTGCCCCAAACTGTGGTGTTGGAGACTTAATCAGAACAAGCAGTGTGATTTTGGCCCTATTCCTGTACCCTTTTCCAGCCTTTTTTGTTCAGAGAACGGAGCAAGAGGGCAAAGATCCTCCCTGTAAACTTGGATCACCATGGAGGCTCCAAGCAAGCCTCGACCCTGTAACTCCTCTTGCCAAACTGGTGCTGTTTGGGTGCTGGATCCAGGGTTATCCTAAGCTTTCAGGGACTGTTGGATCTCAGCAGGATTGCTTCCCACACACACGGATCAGGGTGGCAGGGAAACATGTGAGCTCCCCAAAGAGCCACAGCTCTCCCAGGAAAAGAGCAAGGGCTGAGGAAGGATGAGCCTAATGCAGTTTTTTTGGGGGTATTGGGGGGAGCAGGAGGGTCTTTGCATCAGCTGCTGTAGGTGAGAAACATCCCCAGCTCCCCCCAGCTCAGGGCTGTGCTCGTTCCCTCCCCTCTCGCTGGGTGGATCCAAGCCAGAAAGTAAATCAGGAAATTGCTCCTCTTCTCAGGGGCTGATTCTAGTCCTGCTTCCACTGCAGAGACTGGGAAAGTTTTGCTGGAGTCAGCAACAGGTTTGTCCCTCTGTGTCCTGGACCCACCTCGGCCTGAAAAGTGAGGAGCTTCCAGGGGGGCTGAGCGGTGGGAAGGGGTTGAAGAATCCTCATCCTCCCTGCTGAGTGCTGGAGATGAGAAATGATTAGGGGAAAAAATATTAAAAGGGGATAAAAATCAGGTTTAAAGTGCTCTGGAGCTTTTTCCAGGTGACGCTTTGTCTCAGCCTCCTCCTGGGGGGTGATGCTGTGGTTGCTCCGGGGTGAGCACTGATTCCTGATCCCAGCCTAAACCAGCCTGGCCAGACCAGCAGAACCCAAAATGCCCCAGAAACACCCCGGGGGTGGGACACAGGGAGGGGTTCCAAGCTTGGCACTGCCCCAGGGCCCGTCCATCACCCTGTTTTTGTGCTGTCAGGAGCCACTCCCTGCGCTGCCCCCGTGCACACCCCGGCACTTCCCCGCTCCTGCTTTCCCTGGATCCTGCTGCTGCTCGGGAAAGGCTCAGGCTTGGCTGGGTTTGCTCACCCAGGAAGGTGCAGGCGCAGGGACATCGGGCTCATCATGGCCGGGAGCATCATTAATTTTCCATATTTTGGCAGCAGATCCAGGGACAGACTCATCTGCAACAGTGCTGCAGGTTGGACCTAAAAATCCAATTTTCAGTGCAAATACTTAGTGCCTTTCCAGCAAGAAAAGTGGCTTTTGACCTGTGAGAGCATTTCTTCTGGCTGTTTGCTTTTCCAATAAAAGCTGGAGCAATTCCTGGCTCTTTGGGAGGAGTGTGAAGGGTTCCTGTGCTTAAAGAAATATAAACATCTGCACTTTAATGCAATTTCTTATGTAAAATAATGAGCACATCTACCTGCTCCTTTCCACACAGAAAGGTGTGTGCAGCAGCTTGGGGTTTAAAACCCAGAGCCGTGGGAATAACTCCTTCAAAATCCCATATTTGTTTGAGTTCTGCTGCTTTTCCCTGTCTGCTTTAGCCCACAAAATCCCCAGTTTCATTCTTCATTCAGAAAAATTTGGGAAGCAAAATCCAACACCCCCCAGGAGCGATTTGGTCTCCCAGGGCTGACGACTCCCAAGTCCTGGATTTGGCCAGTGCTGCTCCGTGAAGGGAGGGGGAAGGTCTGGAGGATCTTTGGTTGCCCTCAGAAAGCTCTTCCTGGATTTTTGCAGGGGGTTGATTGGGGTGTGGGGCTGGTGACGCTCCCCCTGGTGCTCCCGGCTTTCCCAGCCTTGGGAATGGGGCTGCTCGGCTCTAACCTGTGTGTTTTCTCCACCAAGGCTATGGAAAATCCCGGAGCCTGAGCAGCATAGCTGGCGTGGCAGGATCCCCGGGGGGCTTGGCCCCGCTCCCGTCCCGCTGCAGCTCTCCCTGTGCTCTGCAGAGCCCCCGCTCTCCCGTCCCCTCCATCCTCTAAAACACCTCCCGGACCCTGCTCTGTGTCGTGTCGCTCCGTCCCCCCTTCCCAACAACTCCGTGTCTCCAGTTTCCAGGCGAGTTCCGACATCTCCACCCCCGAGCAGCTGGTTCTGACCCTCTCCAGCCCCCCCTGCACTGCTCGGCAGGAGCTGTAGCGTCTCCACTGACCTTGTCTCGTGTTCAGGACACACCCCTGGAGTGGGGTTGGGGTGATTTCCCCCCCCTCAAAACATTATTAATCCCAAATAAACCACGGGTCGACCCCTGTGATTCCCTCTGGTGTCGAGCCCTCCCTCCCGTGGGCCGGTTGCACTTGGGCTAAAGGGTGGTGGAAACACAAGAAGGACATGTTGACTTATAAAATTATATCTCATTGTGCTGGAAATGGCTGAGTTCATATAATTTTAGGTTCTGTTTTGTTGTTTTTCTTTTTCTTTTTTTTTTTTTTATTTAAAAACCAGCCTCAAGTTTCCGGAGGCAACAGATGAATAAACCTCTATTCCCTGCCCAGCAGTGGTTCCCCTCTCATTTTGTGCCTTTTTCTGCCTAAATCACACTTGTTCTTTCCCAGATTGTGTCTGATTCTCCATCCGGCCTCAGGGACGGGCCTTGGAAACCAGCCCTGAGGTCCTGTGGAGGTTGAAGGGCCCTGGGAGAGGCTGGGATAATAGGTAGGGATGTTCCCAGGGATAATAGGTAGGGATGTTCCCAGGAAGAGCTGGGAGGTGGTGGGAAGAGGAACAAGGGTCCCTGGGAAAGCTGCTGCTGCTGGTGTTGAACAGTGGGGACAGGAGGGATTCGAGACAAAATGATGCCTAAATGGAAAGGGGGGTTAAATCCTTTCTGGAGATGGACACAGGGGGGTGGGGCAGAGCATTCCCATGGGAATGGGCACTGGGTTTGAACCAGATCCCCCCCCCCATCCCTGGGAGGAGGAGGCTGGAGTGCCAAACCCCTGTTACACTGCTGCTGCTCATGTATATTAGTTTTTGGGGTGATTTTGGGTGATCTCAGGTGTTTCTGGAACTCAAACCAACCCTTCAGTCCCTGATTTGTGGCTCGTGTCTTGCTCTGTCACCCCAGCTCAGCCTCCCCGGAGCCATCTGGGTTTGGGGGGGCTGCAGGGGCTGCTTTGGGGGTCTGGAATCCCACCCTGGTGCTCTCTCAATCTCTTTGCTCACCCTGAGCTGCCACCTGGAGAATTTTCTGGACAGCAGAGCTTAGTTTTGGGCGTGTTTAAAAAGAAAAGAGCCCCAAAAGGTTTTTGGGGATCAGACCCTTCCCCTCCATCACGGCCAAACTGGAGCTGGAGCTCAGGGAGTGATGCAGAGTGAGGATCCCTGGGGGGCAGGGATGGGCAAAGGCTGGACTGGATGATCTTGGAGGTCTTTTCCAACCTTAATGACTCTGGAATTCCATGGTCCCCACACCCTGAAGGACCTGGGATGGATTTTGGTGTTTCCCACAGCCAGGACCCTCCTGCTCCATCCCAGGCCCCCTGGGCCTCAGTTTCCCTCAGTGTAGAGAAGGAGCTGCCAGGAGGAGGCAGTTCCACCTCCAAAACAACCCCCTCTGAGTCCTACACGGAGCCAACAAGAAGCCCTTCACTTTTATTTTGCTTTTCTTCCTCCCTCACCCTGTCCCAGCCCTGTGAGAGCTGAAGGGAAGCAGAAAAGAGGTGGAAAAACTTGGTGCCACGAGCTGGATCCTGGGGCTGGATGGCAGGAGCTGGGCCCTGCAGAGACCCAGGGCTGGAGCTGGAATTTCTGGGGATTTGGGGAGAAATTGGGATGAGCTGCATCCATCCTCTGCCCAGGATGTCCTGTAGTGGTTTCTGACCCCTGTGCTGTGCTGGGGATTCACCCTGTGTGTTAGTGGTGTAGCTGCATTCCTGGGATTTCTGTGATTTAAGTGTATTCCCATAGGAAATGGTCAGAGTAACTGGGCAGGTCCATGAATCACCCAAAAATCCATGAACTGGCTGAGTCCAGTGGCTCATGCTGGCATTGCTCTGGCTCATCCTCCCCTCTGGAAGCAGGAGGAGCTGGAATATCCCCATCCCCTGAGAGAGGGAAGGTCACCCTCTGTGATTTCAGTGGCCTCTGGACCATAAATGATTTATCAAGGTCACACACTGACTTTGGGGACGAGCCAGCCATGAAACCCTGTCCCTTGAATCAGACCAGGATGCTCAAAATTTGGGGTTTTAAGCAGAGGATCAACCCCAGAGCAGATCCCAGGAGATCCCACCCTCTCCCCACAGCAGAGCTGGTTGTCTGGTGTGGAAAACCTTTGGTGGACCCCCCAAAATCTGATCCCCACTGGAGCAAGGAGGGCTGGGCAGGAGCTGCCACAGGATGCAATTTTTAGCTGTGCCGTTATGCAACTCGGGAGAGGGGATGACTAATGTGCAAAAAGCTCCTCTAAAACAACCAAACCCCAAAAGGGAGACGGAGGGATTTCAGTGGGAGGCACCGAACTGCTGAGAAACCCTTCGCATCTTCTCCCTCTTCCTCCCCACCTCCTTCTGATTTGGGGGATGCAGGAGGGAGAAAAGCAGCTTGTTGGTATTTTTAAGAGGGGTCTGGGTTGGTTTTGGGGGTGAGTTCAGCAGGGCTTAATCCCCTGGGTAAGAGGAGCTGTAGTGGATCAGAGCAGAGTTGTAAATATCTCCAGAGCCCAGGGTTTTATCTCAAACAGTGGCCAAAATTGGCTGCCTGGAGAACAGGATAAGAATAGAGCAGGAATATCCGATACTTCCCCTGAATATCCTCCCAGAGCTTATCTGTGTTTAGGGATCTGGAAGGAGCTCACGTTCCAGCCCAGAGAAAGGAGGGTTGTTGGATTTATTCCTGAGGAACTGAATAAATCCACAGGATTAGATCCTTGGCTGCCTCTGCCCAAGTCCTAACATGGCATTTAAAAAAAAACCAACCTCAAGGGATGTGCAGGGATTGTTGGGGTATCCCAGTGTGGACAGGAGAGGTTCCCATGGGATGAGGGGACTCTGCTGGGTCTTGTTCCCAGTAGGATGCTGTGATTGAGGAGAGATATATGGATAACACTGTGTATATTGTATGTGTGTGTCCCTTGCCTGTGGGCAGTGGGATGCCTGGCAGCCTGGAGCTTCAGTGCCCCGTGTCCCTCTCCCCACTGTGGCTGCAGACACAGGTGATGCTCAACAGCAGGAACAGGACCAGAAATCATGGAACTGTGGAATGTCTGGGTGGGAAGGGACCTTAAATCCCATCCAGTCCCACCCCCTGCCATGGGCAGGGACACCTTCCACCAGCCCAGGTTGCTCCAAGCCCCGTCCAACCTGGCCTTGGACACTCCAGAGATGCTGCACAACTTCTCTGTTGCTGTCCCAGTGTTGGAGCTCTCACATCCCTCTGTCCATGTATCCATCCACTCCGGAACATGGATCAGCACATTGGGACAAGGACCAACCCCAATAACCACCCACCCCTGGTGCCGAAAGCACTGCAAGGAGCAAAACCAGAGCAGCCTTTGGATCCAGGGAGGGGATTTGGGGGCAGTTCCCCCTTCCAGCATCAGCTTTTCCTTCTCTTTTCCTCCTGGAAGGCTCGGAGCCCAGCGCTGCGTGGAGGCTGCACCAGGATCCCGGGGTTGCGTGCAAAGTATTAATTTTTATTGTTGCAACAACTGCTCTGTTTCTTGGGAGATGCCTGAAAGAGCTGAGAAAATAGAAAGGCCTGTCAGGCTGCCGGGAGGGAGGTGAAGATGTCAAGAGAGTAATTGCTCTACCCAGAAGGAGCCTGTTCCTGGCTTCCCCAGCACTGCCAGGAAAAATCCTCAGCGCTCATTTGATGACAATAAAGGAAAAATAGAAAATAAATAGCAACCCCATGGTTTGCCCGTGCTGACGAGGAACGGGGAGAGCAGAGGCAGATGCAAAATAAGATGCAGTTGAGCTTATAAATAGGAGCCTCCCAGCTCCCAGTCTGTTACTTCCTCACCTCCACCCGGGCACTTGATCCTTACGCTTTTCCCACAGAAAAGGTAAATGAAGGAGCAGAAAGTATTTTGTAAATTGCTGGGGAGGGGGTCACGCTCTTCCTCCTGTGTGGGATGGGCTGGGGCAGGGAATGAGTCCTGGTGCTGTGGAAAAAATAATCACAGAGTCAGGGAATGGTTTGGGCTGGAAGGGACTTGGAAGCTCATCCTGTTCCATCCCCTGCCGTGGGCAGGGACACCTTCCACTAGCCCAGGTTGCTCCAAGCCCCATCCAACCTGGCCTTGGACACTTCCAGGGATGGGGCAGCCACAGCTTCTCTAGGAATTCCATCCCAGCCCCTCACCACCCTCACAGGGAGGAATTCCTTCCCACTATCCCATCTCTCCCTGCCCTCTGGCAGTGGGAAGCCATTCCCTGTGTCCTGTCCCTCCATCCCTTGTCCCCAGTCCCTCTCCAGCTCTCCTGGAGCCCCTTTAGGCCCTGCAAGGGGCTCCAAGGTGTCCCTGGATCCTTCTCTTCTCCAGGGGAACATTCCCAGCTCTCCCAGCCTGGCTCCAGAGCAGAGGGGCTCCAGCCCTGGCAGCATCTCCGTGGCCTCCTCTGGACTCTCTCCAGCAGCTCCACGTCCTTGTGCTGTTGTTCCCAGGGCTGGAGCAGCTCTGCAGGGGGGTCTCACCTGAGGGGCAGAGGAGCAGAATCCCCCCCTGCCCTGCTGCCCCTGCTGTGGGGGGTTTTGGGGTCCCAGCGCACGTGGCCGGGGTGTGTTGAGCTTCCTGTCCCCCCAACACCCCAAGTTCTTCTCCTCAGAGTTAGTGTAGGACCTACCCAAACGTTGTGCTGGCCCAGCTGGGTGCTGGCAGCCCGTGGAGGCAGCACTGCAGGGTGTTTGGGAAGATGCTCACAGTGGGACTGTGGGAACTCACCATCCCTGCAATTTTGGGGGGATGGCCCTGGCAGCACCACAGCAAACCTGGGTGATTTTTGGAGCTGGGATGTGCCAAGTCAGGGTAGCACCCTACTGATGTTGGGTGGCAGATCCTCACCCAAAAAAAGCCTCGAGGAAGGGGCTGTGAGGGCGAGAGGGGCTGGGACTGATGAGCTGGGACAGGAGGGTGGTTTTCTCGTGGTGGCTTTGTCTGGGGGGCAAAAAATAAAAACCTGGGCCTGTTGTTTGTTATTTTTAGTTGTGCTAACTTTTTTTTTCCGAGGCTGGGAAGCTGCTTCCAAGGCAGGTCCCTGGAGGCCGCGGGCAGCAGGTCTCGAGCTCGCACAGAAAATGGCTTTGAACGGGGAGGAGGAGATGGGAGTTAAAAGCCGACTTGTGCCCCTGGTAAATCAATCGACCTGATGGGGAATGTTTCCAGCAGGCCACGAGTCCTGCCAAGAGCTTTTAGCTGCTCACAGGACTGATGGAACCAAGAGCTGGGATAATTTTCAGCAGCTGGTCCCCAGTTGCTGCTGGGGGTGATGCTGGGTCCCCAGACCCAGCCTGGGAGGTGGGAAGTTTTCCTGCCAGCTGTGGGATTCAGGGGCTTTCATTCCAGTGGGATGTGGGGTTTGAGAAGCCTCTATGTCTGGGCATTGCTCACCTGAGCTGTGCAGTGACACTTGATGGAGAACGAGACCTTTATTTTGGT